AAAATTGCTCCATCGTTTTTGATTATATTTTGTTGTTGGATAATGCGAAGGACGTATAAGAGAATAGTGTGGGTCTCATGTTCGTTAAAAACCCTGATTTTTCGAAAATTGCAAATCTTCCTACAACTAAAATATTAAAGATGGCGATAAACAAAATTTGAAACCTTAATGAAATCAATTCCTTTAAGATAGATTTTGAAATAAGGTCACGTACAATTATTTACGGGTGAAAAAGTACGTGGTGTTTGATTTGCACCATTACATTTTAACTTTTGCATTTTTTGAAAATTCAGAGAGATTAACAAAAGTCGGATCTTCGCCATTTTTATATGCGTACTTGCTTAAAAAATTCAAACATTTAAAGACATAGAGAGAAAATTTTGAAAATATTTATTGTGATCCCATATAAAGTGGCCACCCCAAATCCAAAAATCCGTTTCAAAATTTCCTCGTCCTCGATTTCGGGCATATCGACTGGAAAATAAAAATTTTGGAAAAACATCCTTTACACGGTATATGCTGTAATGTTGTCTACAAATGGACGGTCAGACACAGACGGACGTTTTACTATTAACCAATTTTTAGGCAAAGATCCACAAATATGAATTCTGACTATACAAAGTATTACATGAAGTGATTTAGATCACACAGAATCACGAATTATCCACAGTTTTGGTACCAGGAATCAACAATACGAGTGTTTCTCTCCAAAATTGCACATTTTCGCTGCAGCATTACAATACTTTCTCTTTACTACGGAAGTAATACCAAGAAGGCGAGAAAGTAAAAAAAAATATTCGAGGGTTGGGGACGCGCCGACTTGCAGCCTGATGGGACACTTCAAAACAGTGATTGTTCGCAGCGAGTTGCCAAGCCATCGTTCAGTAGATGAAATGTCAGCGTGATGATAATCAGTAATTATTACTAGTCCGGAGGTGAATAAATGTGCCAAGAAGTACTTTCGAGGGGGCGATAGAAAATTATCACTCCTGTCGAAATGAATGAGAGATGCCCAGCAGTATTTATTGGGAGTGAGATAGACCATGTCAGTAAAAACACAACAGAGAGCTTGAAATTGGAAAGAATGATTAATTCTCACCGAAAATATGTTTCAAACAACTTTCATGTTGAAGTTAAGATGCCCCCTCTTGCCACACATGTCGCGGGCGAACGTGTTAGTTTCGCGTCGTGAGAACTTTTTTACCCTGTGCTGCGATCTGTTGTGGAATAGACGAACTAATTCTTACCAAATGAAGACACAAAAACGAATTATCGCGCGAAAAATTATTCTGATTTTATAATGTACTAAAGCAAGGGGTAAAAAATAGAACTTGCAATTTTCAAAATTCTGAAGTTTGTAATGAATATCTCACGTGTGCAATGTTTTAAAGCGTATTCTCTTAAATCGGGCAAAACGTTTAAAAGTAACAAGATCGAGCCTTTATAGACCGTGACATCACACATCCGTGAGTAACCTCGAATTGATTAAGATGGTGCCTGACCAGAATGATGAGGTTTTATTTTGTCTTTAATTACGTTAGAGACGGTAGAGATTATGCTGTGATCGTGTATCTGATAATAAGCTGATTTGAACTGTGTTATTTGAAATTCATAATCTTAAGAATTTGAAGACGTCTGAAGAACTAGTGACCCCGCTTACGCGATGCGAACAATACTCTAGACACGCATCACAGAACAGCATTTGGAGAATCGGATACAGAGATTTCGTTGTCGCATGAACTTGAGACGATTATTTCGGCATTTTCCACCGTCAACACATCTTTTGAATCCCTTTCTGATCAAGGTTTAAGAAAACTGTCATAGAGGGTTCATTTAAAGTATTCCTCAAAAGTAAAACATTCATTTCAAATGCATAGAGCTTTTCTTTTCGGAAAAGCAGACCGGCAAAGCGGTTTGCGCAAGCTGAAGCGCACTTTGTTTTGCGCCGCATTGTGTAAAATACAATAAATATTAATAAGAAATTGACAACTTCAATATTAAAGCTGTGCGAGAGTCGGAGATAGTGAATTCTCTTCGAGAAAACTAGAACAAGTTTAAAAGCGACCTTATCAAGTGCTTATCTACCTCTTAAGAACAGAGAACTCGTCAATTACTACGCAGCAAAGAACTCGGTGATCGACAACCTTCTCGGCTCCTACATCTTTACAATCGTTGATGTCATCCATGAGTAGTCATCGCGATTTCATTAACAACGCTACATGGGTGCAGCTTCTACCAAACAAGTTTCAAGGTATTGAAATGCCAGACGCAGATAAAACTATCTGAAACGTCGGAAAAGCTTCAAAAGTCCATGGACGTGATGCGGCTGACACAGAATTTAACGTAGAAACGTCATCACTTAACGTCAGTACTGTGCTGGAATGCATGGAAACACAATTCGATGCCATTTCGAGTAAAATTGAAAATCTCAAAACGTCTTAGACCGGAAAAGCAAAATCCCGACTTCCGGGAAAATTTCGACAAATTTCGGGCCCGAAAAGCCGGAGACACGAGCACTTACATGGTTAAGGGGGGAGAGGGTCCGTCCGCCCCGGGTGGCAACTTTTTAGGAGTGACACTAATTAGAAAATGTTATAGTTGAGAATTGTATAATTTTAATGATTTATATAAAAATTATACATATATATATTTAACTCATAAATTTTTATAAAAATTATTTTTAATCATAAAAAATTACTCTAAATCATAAATTTTATAAAAAACATGCATTTGTTTATTATACTCCGTTTTAGATTAGTTATTTTAAAATTATATTTCATTCTGAATTACATAGTTTTTAATACATTATAAATGTCAATTGCAAATATACGTGTATTTTTATTTAATAATGTACAAAGTATTCAGTAACATATTTTTATATTTAATTTGGGGAGTGACACCAACTGTAGCTACGCCACTGATCACACGCGCACTTAACGGACGATAAATTGCGTCCATTGCAAAGTTTACAGATGCGAGGCACACGTGACGTCCGCTGTGCTCTTCTTGTGTCCCCGGAGCGTTGACGTCCGTTACGCGACGCACGTGTGCCCGCAGCCTCAGGACGACGGTACAGACCCAGCGCCGAACGCGCATTTAGCCATGGTCAGGCGGACACGGTTGATAAGGATAATGAGGAGGCAAGGACAAACACGTATTACGAGCGTTGTTGCCAGTATGCATGAGATATTCAATTGAATGTTTCATCGAAGAGTGCAGTTCTGTAGCAAAAATGAAGGGGTCACTTTAGGATACTTCAAACTGTCAGGATAATTTAAGAAGAAACTTATTAAGAAGAGAAAGTTATGCAATACTGCGCAAAAAAACGGCCAATTTTCGGCAGTCAAAAAATTATTACAGGGCCCTGGTAATGAAAAACTGGAAAAATCCGGTTGCTAAATTTAGAAAAAGAATCCTCTACCACGTGGTGTAACCAGAATCCATGTTTTATGGGTTGTTGACGCCGAAAAGTCGGACAGCAAAACCCGTCTGAACAACGCTAGCTGCTAAACTGTTCAGCCGATACTCTGATCGATCTGGCTGATGTCGCAGCCCCTTGAATTTGCAATCGATATTTTAATGGAGGGAGGTACTTTACATTAAGCCCCTGGGACATTTTTAAAATAATGGCTCCATCATTTATTATGAAATTTTGTTTGTGGATAGTCTGAAGGTGTAAGGAATGGTATAGGTTTCATGTTGGTTAAAACCCTTATTTTTCAAAAATTAAAAGAACTCAACACTTTTCAGCGGCTTCCTAAAACTACAATTATGAAGATACAATTTTTTTCCCTTAGTAATATGTGTACATCAACAACAGATCTTTAAGTAAAATCATGTTTAATTTTTCAAAAACATTGCAGTATTTTTTGCAAAATTTTGTCATACATAGGCAGTTTTCATTTCATTTTAACAACTTTTTCTTAATAACTACACTTTTATAAAAAAAAAATTGTGAATTTAGATAGCATAACGAACACTTAAGAGGACAGTACAGAACTTGTGTTCATTGAAATGCGTGATTTTGCAAGAATTAAAAAAAAAACTCAGTGTTTTCCTGCAACTACAATTGTGAAGATATATTTTTTTTTCTCAATCATATGTGTTCATAAAAAGCAGATATTTAAGGTCTTGTTGAACTTTTTGAATGGCAAACTCAATTTCACTGCAGCAACACATGGGCAAATTTTGTAAAATATAGTATAGTTTGCTTCTAAACTCCATGATCATAAGTGTTTCCTTCTAGGTACCTACTAAGGAATTGCAATCTCAATAGTGTCTGTGGTAAAGGCGAGGAAGTGAATTTACTATACATAGATATTACAAGATTTATCCATTTTCCTTTACCAGAGCTAAGCAATAAGTTTTTCAGTTGAAAATGAGGTTTTCAATGCATGAGTAAAATACTTTCTCTTCTTTCGAAGTGTGAGAAAGTAAAAGGTCATTTCTACTTCTTCAAGTTCCTCACATACTTTGTTTATTTATCACAATCTTGTATAAGATAGGAAAAGGAAAAAATTATTTCTATAGTGTATCTCTGTTAATCCTGTCCTGTTTGCTACGATTATTGTTGTTAAGGCAGTCATAAACAAATGGACCATTTTCCAGCAACTATTTTAACCTTCAATTAGTGGAATGGATGAAAATGAATTTTATTGCAAATTTTGTGGGCTTTTCCAAAACATTGATTCATTTTGGTTTCTCAGTGTTCTCAAGATATGAGTGCAAAAACCAAGAGTATATTCTTAAACTTTGCTTTAACAGATAGGAAAGCGGGATAGGATGCATTTACAAAACCCAATATTCACAGTAATTATTCTCTTTCTCAATGTTTTGGGTACAAAATTTCATTGAGGTTAGTATGAAACTGTAGATTTGTATAAAAAACAAACATTTACATAAAAGAAAATTATATGGGGGGGAGGGTGTAGGTTTACTTAGGCCCATCAAAATGTGTTTGGCGAAGATAAAAACTTACGAAATGCACAAAAACAAAAAACAAAACATAAAAACAATTTATTTTTTATACCGTCTAAATAATCATTTGAGATTATCAAAAAGACAGTTATTTTGAAATCACAGACAGACACACTTCAATTTTATTTACATAGATTTATTTATCCAAATGAGCATAAACTTTTCTTAATTTTACATGTTTATTTCTCTTGGCACTATGATCCTTCCAAGGTTTATATCCACTTCCAGTTTGGGCTTTTCTGAAGAAAGAAAATTCATTTAAAACACATGTACAAAATTATTTCACTAAGCAAATTCACAATTGATGAACTTACCCTACAGCAGAACCCTTGTATCCTTTAGTATGCACTGTAGATGAGGATTTATTAAAGAATGCACTATCCAAATCTTTAGTTGTATGATTCTGTAAATAGAGAATGAAAAATAAAAGGATGATTAGTAAATATACATTTTTCTTCAATGAAAATTACAATATGATACCTACATAACGATAAAGCAGTAGATGTTTTAGGATAGGCAAGGGGAAACGTCTGCAACTACAATCAAATGAATTTCCACACCACACTTCCTCACTGTCCTACGTTCAGTTCCCTCAGGTGATTTTTATACAAGGAAAGAACATTAACACTGTGTTGGACCACACCACAATTTTGGGGGAAGAAATTGTAATTTACAAAAATGCAAAAGTATAAGCTTCAAATTACATTACATACATTTTTAAATCTTCAATAATTGTTAGTAAGGCATGTTCCTTAATTTCTGGAGTCAAAATTTGATTAAAAATGTTCCTTTCATGCAAATAATGAGGAACAGATTCAGTCAAGTGTCTGCATGGAAATTTCAAGGACAAGGAAATGCTTGAATATTTACCTTAGGAGTAATAGCTGATGGCACATCACTGGCCTGCTTTTTTCTTCTCTCAGGAAATACATTAAAATCATCTTCTCGATAGCCTGGTGGAGCCCAACAATATAATAACTTTCCAGTCACAAAATCCTTCAGAATATACCGAGATGCTCGAGGATTGTCAGGCTGGCCATTTGCGGTCATGAATCCACGATTGTCTAAACAAAACAGTTGAATTTATATATTTATGTTGAAGATGATGTGATTAATTTTAAATTACAGAGATTTATATAAAGAATAATTTCGAATGCTTAATCTAAATAATAAATAGAGATGATGCAATGAAAATACGCATGCAATGCAACAAATAATGTGTCAATGAAAACAAAATCAATAATGTAATCAAATATTGAGTTAAACTGAGCCAGAAAATCATGTTAGGTCACGGGTGGCAAGCGCCTACCTAGTTGGGGCTTGGCTTGAATAACTAGTTTGATTGCAAGACACCCAACGCTTTAGAATAGCACGTGCCACAAGTGTCAGTGAAAAACAGACTTATGAGTACGCGACTACTGCAGAGGTGCGCTGAGTCACTCGCGAAAAAATCACTTTCACTGACACTATACCAACAACTGAAAACTAGATCCCTAACTGTCTCTAATATATAATTGTCGCCACTCTATTACCTTTTTTTGGATGCAATTTTGCTCAGATATGTTACACAAAAGTAAAGAAATCGAAGTTGAGACCTTGTTACTGAGTAACAAATGTATTTTAATAATTAAATTTGTTCAGAGAATTGTCATCCTGACTGGGATCAAATCCTGGTCAGTCAGACAATTCTCTGAACAAACTTAATAATTAACTTCCTTTTGTTTGGATAGTAGTTTCATTTCAGAGGATTCTAGAGTTGTGGAGTTCACTTGAAAATCTCAAATCTGTCACACCTACCATATTCATACAATGCAACAAATCTAGCAGTGATGAAAACTTGCTAAAGAACATAGCTTATTTCATCAGGAATTTGAAATGTTTAGCCAAAAAAATAAGATTAATTGAAATAATTCTAGGATTTACAAAAAAAAAAAAAATCAATCCCATAAACTTTAGTTGTTATAATTATATTAAAACTTCAGTTGTCTTATATTCAGGTATATATGGTATATAATAAAAGGTTTCTTTCCTAAATATCTCATTCAAAAATTATGAGCTGTTAAAGAGAGAATCTCCAACATGGTGTTGTGTCAAGTGAAACGCAATATGGAATTGGATAAAGATTATGTTTGAGATTTTGTTACACAATTACATTTTGTATTACAGGATTCACAGCAAGATTCTTTGTTTCATGCTGACCAGTAAAATTCTGAGTTTTGAAAGACCTAGGAATGAAAAAAATTCTCAGAGGAAGTATGTACACGTCTTACATCCAACCTCAGACAAGAATGATAAATATTGTTTCTTTGTTGAGAATTGCGCCACCTCCTTCCAGTTTTTTAAAATCGTGAAAAATCGCAGAGAAATTTAAAATTTACAATTTCCCCCATGGTTCTTCACGAATTAAAAAAAAACAGGGTGATGCCACATTCTGGTTCAGCATCAACATATGTAGATAAATGTGTTCTGAATTGTCTAGGCTGACCAAGAGGAGCAGTGACTGTTTTGGTGGCTAACTGAAGTCGTAGGCTTCCGCGGCCAGATTCATGTGGGTGATCTGGGCTGTCCGGGTGACGCCGCGTCGAAGGCTGAGTTGCCGACGTTTCGACCATCCTGTCGTGGTCTTTCTCAGGGCTGGTATGCCGCCAGCCCTGAGGAAGACCACGACAGGATGGTCGAAACGTCTGCAACTCAGCTTTCAACGTGGCGTCACCCGGACAGCCCAGATCACCCACTTGGTGGCTAACTGTTTTAATTTTTTTTTGTGTGCCTGTGTTATTATTATTATTATTTAATCATGATGTTTTTGTATTAGAAATAAATATTTTAACCATGCTAAAGATGACCCAAAAATTAATTATAGATTTACATTCAATTTTAATTAATACTTACAGCCATAGGCATTAAGTAATTCTTCAGATGTTGGAGGACGGTCTGGATCTTCACCTTCTCTTGGTGGTGAAATTATTATTCCATAGGTGTCTTCTAAGACATGCCTTGGGATCAGGCTAGTAACCAAGTTGACAGGAGGTACATGATCTCGCATTTGATCAATTGGTAATATACCATTAACAATCATTTCTGCTTTTGAATACATAAAACTAGGCATCACCAAACCCGGGCAATCGCATAACAATAAATCCTTATCAAGGAAAAGTGTCTAGAAAAAAAAAACAACTGACAATCACTATTCCTTAAAGGACAGAAAAATATTCAGAAAATATCAAAATATTCAGCATTTTTATTTTTAAAACATTATCACAGTAGGAAAATCTTTAGGTTGATAACTTACTTGAAAATGTTTGGTTTTTCCAGGAGTAGCTGATACAGACACTTTCTTCTCTAGAAGAAGAGAATTTATCGTAGAACTCTTACCAACATTTGGATATCCTACTAAACCTACTGTTGTCACACCAGGTGTAACTTTTTCTCCAACAGGAATAGTGTGGAAAAATGAAATCAACTCTGACCTTTTAAGAAGTTTATAGGAATTATTTACCCTTTTGCTGCTCTCTTTTTGTGCATTTTGAGTTTCTAATGATAAATGACATGATGATCCAATGTTATCAAAATTGAGATTGTCCTTGCAGTCTGAAACCATTTCATTATTCTTTCGTTCCAATTCATTTTTCTCAGGTGTTGTATCTGAAGATTGTTCATCTTTACAGTTTAATTCTATTTTTAAATCGGACACTGCGTTCTCCAGCACATTATTCTCTCCTTTTTTTTCTGTTAGTTCTGCTTTCTCCTCCTCCTCCTCCTCCTCCTCCTCCTCCTCCTCCTCCTCATCATCATCATCATCATCATCGTCGTCGTCGTCTTCACCATCCTTGTTTTCATCTTCAGCAAGATTTTTTGTTTTTTCTTCTTCAAGAGCATATGTAGCAGAATAAAATGCTACTCGTACACCAATTTCACCAAAGAAATCTGCCCAAGCTTGTCGCTGTTTAACAGTCAAATAATCCGCTTTGTTGAGAAGGATTAAGTTTTGCTTGTGAGGGCTGACTTCACAAACATATTTTTCCAAATCTTCACAACGAAAGAGAAGTGGGTTTCTTGCATCAACAATCTGCACGACTACATCACTGTAAAATAAAATTTAATGCTTTGCAGTTATTTCATTTTGCAGGGAAAAGAACAACAATGCAAAAAAGACCAACCTTCTTTCAACAACTCTCCAGAGCTGCCTCCAAAACTCCAAATTCTTTTCATAAGGTGTTAACACCAAACCTTTTTCTTCCTGCAACATAGCTAGTCGACGCCTCCATTCCAAAAATCCTTCACTTTCTAATGCTGCTAGCTGCTCAGGTGTTGTAGTTTCATCCCACTTCGGTCTGAAAAATGTTGAAGTAAAACACAGAATTTACCAATCACTTCAATGATTAGATCATATTAAAAAAACAGTAACAATTACAGTAATTGACATCTTTTCTCCACTAAGGAACATCAAAAGTAAATATAATAGATGTTGCTTTTATTAAAAATAGGTTAAATTTCAGAATAATTTTGTTATTTGCCCACATCAAATCATAACAATTTTTTAAGATTGTTTTCCATTGCATCAATTTTATCCAAATTACTGAAGTTGTTGCAGGCAACAAAAGATAAAAATGGAGCCAAAACAATTTATCTTTGCTTATTAACATATTGCTTATTACAAATACTGACATTGAGAAGAAACATTTGTTAAATTCACAAATCTTGATCATTTATCTCATAGAAAATTAATCACAAGTGAGCAATGGTGTTTTAAAAAATATTAACTCCTGTTAACTTTGAGGCAAACCAGCACTCATCCATATAAGACAAAATGTCCAATGTGAATTTGAAAAGATTTACCTCCTCAGATACAAATAAGTGAATACTCCCATTCCTTGAAACTGTAATTTTCATTAACATTAAACAAACATTTAATTAAAATCATTACACCACCTGAAGTAACAACGTTCAGGTTCAGTTTCAATTCATATATTGTTTGATTTAGGTTTTGGTGTAGATTTTGAAACTGTTTCCAATGATTTTCCTACATAATATGAATTAATGATATTAATAAACCCAATTTAATTAATCATTATTGTTAAACAATTTTGAAGTTAATTGAAAGGTTACAGAAATAATAACATTGTTCACTCTCTGAAAAACTTTAACTCTCTGGTTTACTAACAAAGATTTACTTAAAACTATTCTTTACACTATGAGTTCCTGAAATTTTAACCAAACATAACAAGATGCACAAAATTATTAAGATCTTAAAAACGGACACAGTTAATTTGGTTGGCAAGGCATTTTATTAGTGAACAATGGATTCACTCTCGCTACTTAAACATTTTTTTTAATGGCTTCATTTTGATATAACTTGATTTAATGTCACATAAGAATTGTGCAATTAATAATGTGCATTGGAAAAATTTTATAGTTTTGATAGAAAAAGAGTTTATTAATCAATAAACTGTAAAATTTTCTTCTCTAATAATTTCTGTAATCCAACAACCAAATTCTCTCTATCCACTTAAACAAACACTTTAGTGTTCAATGCAATACCTGGCTTTAAAAAATGTAAATTAATAACCTTCCTCACAGTTCCATTAGGTATGTTATACACAGCACAATGATACTCCAACCAATCCAGTTTTCATGAATACAGTTTATACAAATACATAACATTTTTTTAACTCCTTACATGTACTATAAAATTTGTACATACAGTCCATAACATGGTACAATATTACACATTTATTGATAATTGACTACTATTAAATTAAAGAAAAATTCACCACACAAGTTAAATGTGTTCCTTACTTTGGAGTTTGATATGCAATTCTCACTTACCTCCTGGGTATAGACAAGAACTGTCTATTTTCGTTTTGAGTTTCATCCACTTTTTCCTTCTCTTGTTTTGTCAGAAGACCAACACCGGAGAGAGGATTCACAAAAGTAATATTCAATTTCTCTGCCTAAAACATTAAAAAACATATCCAGTTTACATTTTTTTATTTACAGGCTCATTACGAAGAAGGAACACTCATTTCTACAGAAATCTCCACGGTTAGCATAAAAACAAAGAAGAAGTTACAGGGGGGGGGGGGGAACAAATAGGTTAATTGTTTCAAGCACTAGTTAATCTAGATTATATGAAGGTTTCCAAAATTTTGGATTTTTTCAAAACCTTTTGATTAAACAACCGCTCTTGCTGGTGAAAATAATTTTATATTATTTTCCCAAAGGTTTAATTAGTAATTAATTTTGAATTGAAACACAATGTTGTTGTTGATGTTCTTTGTATAAAAAATTCAGTAAAATTGATATCACTGAGCATAAATCACTTTCTAGTATGCCTTGTCTACCCTAGTCCAGCTCTACCAATTATTATGGGTACAAATTCACTTAATTATGCATTTGACCCATTACGTTCTTTAATATCATACACAACAAACATATGAAACCAAGTAAACATGAGGAAGAAAGAAGACAAAGAAACTGAAGATCATTAACAAAGACTGATGTGGACAATAGAGAAATCAGTTCAACAGCTTGCTCCTCACACTAGAGAGGCCTAATCTTCAAAAACTTCTTACTTTGACCAAAAGAAAATGTTCCACATAACTGCCAATAAAACAAATGCTTGCTTTGACAATCACAATCTCGCTGCTTTCTACATAAAGGTCTTTAATATAAAAGACTCAGGGGAAGAGTTAGCACTGATCAGCACTATGGTCTCAATATTAGAGCAAGTAGTGCCTGTAAAAATGCTACACAAGACAACATTCTTATCATTTATCTTATTTGTTTGTTTGTTGTTGTTGTTTTTTTTTTGTTTTTTTTCATTATCGAGTAGTGTTCTAGATAGAATAGTTTTAACAAAATTGAAGGTTTTAAATGCAGAGAAGGGGAAGACTGGCATAGAATGGCAGTTGTTGGAAATAAATGTATTGAAAATGTAGATGATAACAGTAAATGAATGATACACAGGAGTATGCTGCATTATATAAAGATATGGAATGTGTTGCTTAAAAAAATCAAAAATTATTTTGTTTTAAGGGACTGGTAAAATATAATTAATTATATATTCTGCAAATGATTCAACAAGACAGGCTGAATGTACAGTGGATCTCAGTTAATTATCACTCTACAAATGGAATTTTAAACTTTCAGATACACTGCAAATATATTTATTCCATTACATTATAAGAACATACATACCTGAAATTCTGTTCCAGCAAGTTCCGCAGTGGACAAAAATTCTTGAAAAGAACTTTCTTCCGTAACCGACTGAAGGTTCAATCTACCCCAATCATATCCATCAGGAATTTCTGAAGAATGCAGCTGAAAATAAAATGTTCAGTTAACATTGAAACCAATCCACTTGATTTTAAATTAAATTAAAACATGCAGTTACCACAGAAATTTTTCCAAACAAAAAGTCTCTCATTTTTAACAAATAGAAACAATCTTGTAAGTAATTTTTCAGGGCTTGATCAAATAAAAAACAGAACAATATATTACTTCAATGACTCACCATCGTTGAATCCTTTGGTCGTCTTACTTTGGGGTTAGATTTACCAAACCTGTCATTGATAAGTGCCCGACCAAGGCCACTCTTATTTTTATTCTTCTTGCTCATTTTTTTAAAAACAATAGACGCTAATATAGTATAAAACTCTAACTACTTCACACAAATGTGTCTAACGAATATAACACTAGTTATATTGTGTATCATTGGTCCACAACCTCGCGACAGATATAGAATTCAACGATAATTACAAATTATCATTTACAAAATAAATCGAAAAAACTGTTATATTGAAGTCTCGCTTATGAAAAAAATTAATATAAGTGCAAAAGCTTAGTTCGATGTTATTCTACGGAAGTTGAACTATTCACATCGTTGTATAAACAAGGATTACAGAAAACTTTAACATGTCAATTTATTTACAGCAAGCTGCGGTAAACGAAGTTCTGAAGTACACATCAACGTGACCTGGCCCTTGGGAACACCATGGAACACGTGCAGGCAGAACCTTTCGTTTCAAACCACGGTTGCAACCAGGTTGCAACTGGCAGTCAACTGGTTCCAACACTAGCAACATTGACAGAATCGCGCTCTATCATCTTCCGTGAAAGGAATAAGACAGACTGCTGCCAACGTTAGTGAGAAACTCGTGTGAAGTTTAGACTCAAATATAGGCGGTCACTGAGCAACAGATTGGACTGATATTCTCACTTTATACACCCATAATTGTTTATGTAAATATTATCATTGTAAATACTTGATTTTAACGTGTTTTGTATTTCCAACAAATGTTTCACATTTTTATTGTGCAGTATTGGCAAACAATAGTATGGGCAAGCAAGCCAACCATATGACGCTAACACAACGCTAGCGCTTCTATCCTTGCACTCTGTAGTTTCATTTAGTTTCATTGGGGAGTTCATAGACCTTCGGACCTTTTCTGCCCTCTTCTTTCCTCGTACTCTGTGGTTCGGCCTCTATCCTTTACTCTGTTCAGTCACGTGAGCGGTTAATTTTACACATATGTCTGCCAAATCTCCCCTCTCCCCCCTCTCTCACCCTTTCTCTCTCTCTCTCTCTCTCTCGTTCTCTTGTCTATATATATATATATATATATTATATATATATTATATATATTATATTATATATATATATAGATATAGATATAGATATAGATATAGATATAGATATAGATATAGATATAGATAGATATATATAGATATAGATATAGATATAGATATAGATATATATGGCTGAATTGAAAAAATAGAAGTCAATGGCTTAGTGAAAGCAATAAACCCGTTTTAAAAATGGGTTTAGAGGTGTCACAAATCCTCATACTTATTCCATTTAAATTTACATTTATTTAATGATGATAAAAAAATGAATGTGACGTATGGGGGAGACGATTATCTTCGCACGTTTTCTTGAGTTCCAGAATCCCTTCCCGTCATTGTAACTATAAATAGAAAAGATAATTAAAAGTTTAAAATAAATAAATAAAAATAAATTTTAAAAAAATCGGAAGATTAGCAATATTTGAAAAAATAGCCTTTTTGTTCGAGTTATAGAAAACATATTTGTATTGGTAAACGAATTGCAAGTATGATTTTTCTGCATTGCTAACAAAATAGTAACTCAACCTTACCTCTACTCTTACCATTACAAGCAAAAGGAGATTTCAACAAAACGTACGCATAGTGGTTACATTTACGTCCAGAAGCAAAACAAGGGGTCATCTCAGCATTTGCTCAATGGAAACTGGGCAAAAACCTACCGAGTGGGGGTCATTGACACGGAAGCTGAAGTATATTATTTGTTACAAACATTAAGTCAAATAAATGTAAACTAATTCATTATATATCACTATTTTGTTCAAATAAACATTTTTTTGTTTTGATAATCAGTATAGTGTCCAATTGTATAGAAACAGTTATGCAGCAGAAAATATTTTACTTTTAACTTAAATTTGTGAACTGACTTCATTTGTTTAATGTCATTTGGCAATGCGTTGTAAAGTAACGTACGCCTGTTTCTCGCCTAAGAAATACCTCCTTTCTCCGCTAGTTGGTAAGGAGCGTAGCGAAATTTGCTTGGTCAGACGGAAGAGCGGGCCTGATGGCCCGAGTCTCGCCACGTAAAATAAGGCATTAATTCAATTCAATTCAAAGTAACGTACGCGCATACATACTCTTTGGTGGTAAGATTGTTAGATTTTTGCGGATGGCATTGCTTCATTATTCGAATCCTTTTCTTTTGCAATCTAAAGGTCTAAGTAGTACTTCGTAAGTACTACATGATGAGTTTCCCCATAATTTTATACCATATCTCAGGAGGATATGTACATTTGCAAAATACACGCAACGAGCTGCATGAAGGCTGACAGAATTTGAAAGAATTGTGAAGGCGTAACATAATGAACTTAATTTAGTGTTTAATTTTGTTATATGTACATTCCATTTGTGGTTTGACTGAATTGAAAATCCTAGAAACGTTGTTACCTGAACATCAACTAATTGCATATTGTTCATTTTCAATGGAGCATGCTTTTTCTGAATTGAAATGCAAAAATGCATTGAAACTGTTTTTCCTTCATTAACTATTAACTTGTTTACAAAACCAATTTGAAACTTTTAAAATCGTACTATTTATTGTTTCTTTTTTGCAAAGAACATTCGTGTCATCGGCAAACCGTTCTTCCATTTTTAATAGACGACGGCACATCGTTTACTACAACAGAAAGAGGATATGACCTAAAATGGAGCCTTACGGGACCCCATATTCAATTGGTCATACACTCTCTGGGCCCCATACTCATTTGGTAAAGAATAGGAAAGATTAGTAAATAATGACCTTTCGTGCCAGTACAGTATTTCTTCTCTTTGAGATCGTTGTTTAAGGTACGAGGTTATCCAATCTAGGGCCATACCACGAATTCCATAAGAAGGTAATTTTTATAGTAAGATGTTATTAAATATCAATAATGTCAAAAGCTTTCGAAAGACCTAAAAATATTCCAATGGGTGCTGCATTTTGCTACATTGATGAAGCAACATCTTTAAGAAAATAAAAAATGTCAGTTTCCTTAGTTTCTAAACCCGTGCTGTGAGTCTGAAAACGCTTTTCTGAGACAAGTTTGCATTCGGGTATAGAAAAGCCTCTCTAATATTGTTGGGAAACCTGACAAAAGAGAAGTGGAGCGGTAATTTTGAATTTCTTTTGCTCCCTTTTTTAAAAAGTGGCTTAATTTGTGCTGTTTTGAAAATATCTGGAAATATTTTTGTGCATAAAGAAGCATTGAAAATGTGAGTTAACGGGTGTGTAAAGGCAGGTGCACAAGTTTTCAAAAACAATCCGGAAATTCATTTAAACCTGATGAATATATATATATATATATATATATATATATATATATATATATATATATATATATATATATATAATTTTAGTTTACTGACTATTCATAAGATTTTGTTAGACGAAGTTTCGGACATTTTCCCTACTTTTAGAAAATCACGAATAAATATTATTTAAACTTATTTTAAATACAACGGATTTTTGGCTGAGGTGGTGCTCACGTTCCCGTGCAACACTTCTATGATCATCAAACATTACTTATTTGACTCAATGTGCCAGATTAGCTCGAGTACGGCCAATTTTACGTTAAAACCATAGAAATGGACACTTTTCTAATCGCCATAGCTCCGTAAATTTTTAATCAAAATACTTTTCATTTAGATAAGATTAACTCTCTACTTTAAGAAATTTGCTTCGTACAATGTAACTATTTCACTGCAATCGGCTAAAATGCGCCATCACTATTGACGGCCCACAATTGTACCGCATTGCTGTATCTGATTTCTTTATTCACTATTAGGCTGCAGTGAACATATTTGTAGAGACATCAAACTGGTTTTGATGTTACTAGACTTTAAAAACTATACTTTACTAAACTTTAAAATTCTATATTCCTCCGTGATCATTCTAGTCGGGACCACGGCCCGGCAACTCTCCATCAATATTGGGGACAAAGCTAGAGGTTGCTACTATAGCATGCGCTAGTGTCGCCCGATACAGCTGCTGGTAAGGCTCGCCAACTTCCGCTCATAAAAATTGGTCAACAAATACGTGTACACTTTCATTAAGAGCGATTTCTGAAATAAAATGCAAAAGAAGTTAAATACTACGTGTTTAACTTCTAAATTCGTTTATTTGTAATAATACACGCATGAAAGAAAAGGTAGCGCGAACAGCGGCGCGATTTTTTGCATCAAGCGCGTGTGTTTGCGTCCCGAGAACCCTCGCGCGTTTTAAATAACGTTGGAAGCAGTTCGAATTTTAGTTCGCGTAAGAAGGTGATGCTCTAGAGCGCGCCACTGTAATGGTCCCCACCACGTTATTGGGAGTTATAGGGCCCTGGTCGGGACCGTCAGAACTAATCAAAGCAGATTTGAGAAATGGCCAAAGAACTTAGACAAACAGATGTAGTTACTCTGTGTGGCCCAAGAAATTCTTGCCAAGAAGAATGCGATTTCAGGTTATCGTAGGGAGTTCGCTGTGAATCAGCTGTGGACGGAGAAAGGGTTTGAGATTTAAGAAATTGTTAACATTGTAAATTAATACACTATAACATGGCGTGGGTTATTAAGGGAACCAGTCTTGGGAAACTATTAAATGTCTCGTTGAATCAATCTGGTGTCTTAAATAACTCGTTAAGGGGTGCATGTATACCCCAGATATTTGCAATTCAGACAGCGAATATTAGTGGAAAAGCTTTACGGGATAAAGCTAGGAAACGGCCCCCACCCTATCCATACAAAACAAAGACGTATGGATTTTGGAATGCTCTGTTTGATAAAACTACTTGGCGATTTGATGATAATTCTAAAATTATTGTTGTTGAAGGACCAATTGGTGTAGGAAAAACCACATTTGCCAAAGCTTTGGCAGATGATTTAGAAATGTTACATCTTCCAGAATGTAACATGGATATGAAATATATTAATGACTATGGTTTTGATATAAGACAGTTAGATCCTCAACTCCCTGAATCATGTCAAAGTTTTGATATCAAAAAATTCTATGAAAATCCAAATCATCAAAATGTGGCTTCATTTCAAATTGAAATGTATCGATTAAGATATGAACAGTATTTGGATGCCCTTTCTCATCTTCTTAGTACAGGTATGTCATTACATAATTACATATGTATCAATGATCTGTATTAATTGTGATTTACATTGATATTAATGAGGCCAGCGTAAAAAGTGCATGAAAGGGACTTTCTTATTTTGAGGTTTGTAGCATTTTCATGCCTACATTTTTCATATGTAGGTTACATTATTATTAATTCTAGCTCCTATTAAAATATGTAGAGTAAAGCTAAGGATATGAGCCTTATGTATAGTGCATATTTTTCCAAATTTTTTACTGCACAATTAATATTAAGATATGTGTCTTTTTAAGAGAGATGATAGCCAACCATGTTTTTTACGTGCTCTTTTGACATATTGATTTTATAGATGGTCTTGTTTTATTGCAATAATGAAAGACAATACTGCATCTTTTGATAGAAAAGGTTGTCTGAAAATATTTTGAAATATTAGAATGAAAGTAAACTGATATCAGTTTGAGTTTATTGCCTTCAATGAAAAAATTAAACAATAAAAAAAATGTTCTGAGATTGCTAAAAACTGAGTTGTTTCAAAAAATCTAAGATAAATAAGTAAAACAAGCTTCAAGTAAATATGCTGTGTTTTAACTCGGTATCCCCATATACTATTTCTTTTAATTATATCTACATGATGAGTTTTTTTTAACTGCTGCACTATGAGCCCAGAAAGAAGAACATCTTACTGCACTTTAGAACTTCCACAGAAGAACTAATTATGCAGAATCTCATTGCATTAAACAGATTTTTTTTTAATTTATCATTAGAGTTGTTTTAAACAATTAAGTCTTTTTTTTCTTACCTGTAATGGATGTATAAGACTCACCTGAATTGTTTTTTTGTTTTAACTTTGTTCATTTAAAGAATGTTTTTTACAACACTTTTTTTCTAGCCATCAGGAGCAGATGCAGAGATGAATCTTGAAAGGGGAAATTCAAAATGTTTTTGATGAATATGTCATATTACAGATTTTGTAAAATGTTGCAGGTTACACTTAGCTCATGCTGTGATATGAGTTTATTCGTTTTAATGATAATCTAAAAATATTTTTGCTTGAAAGTCTCGTAACAAGTTAAAATTAATAGTTACTGAAAAATTTTAGGGGCGGAAATTTCCCTCAATTTCCCTACCCATGGATATGCATAAAACATCCTTTAACACTGTTCAATAGTGGGTCACTGTACATTAACAAAGGAACCCAATCTAGTCAATTAGGAAAATATGGGGTTCTTTAAATTAAATGAATTTAAATTCAAAGAAATGGAAATAAAATTTTGCAGTCTTGTAGTGAAAATTATGGGGTTTCTAAAATCATAATTTCCTTAAAACAGGCTTATAAATGTATTCATCCTTTTAATGTACATCTCCTCAATTATCATTAAAGAAAATTTCACATATCTCAATATTTTCTGGCGTGAAAAGTTTAGTTCAGGTGTGATTTCTGAATGGAGTCTATAAACATTCAAAACACTCAGTTTAACATTTAGACATTTCTAATGAAATATAAGACACATAATGAAAATATCAAGTTTTAGTTAGTGCTTCTTCATTGAAAAATCAGAAATTTAATTATATTTTAAGTATACGAGTTCACAGAGTGGCCGATTAGAAGAAGAAAAAAAAAAAAAGGAAAATCATTTAACTTAATATATAATATTTTCATATATTTTTGGGAAATATTATTTTTTCAACATATTTGAGAAGAAAATTAAATGATAATATAAATGACTGAAAGTTGAAAAACCCACTTCAAAATAATTAAAGATCCCAAACAGTTAAAACTCCTTAAATATTTGTAAAAAATTTAGGCGTAGATTTGGGTCATACCCCCCTCTCCACCTTCATATCTACATCTTTCTTCACTTGCTGGATGTTCTTCAGCATGGACAAGTCATTTTTCTCATTTATATCCTTGCCTGAATGGTCTAGTATTTACAAAGATATGGCCTACATGTTTTTAAAACATTGAGTATTATTTTTAAATGAGAAGAAAAATCCGGCAAAAATGTGAATTTCTCCTGTTCATTTTCTCTGTTCTGACATTGTGCAAAAAATAAATAATTGATAACTTAATACACTCAAACTGCAGGACTTGGTCAGTTTCACTTATCAACGAATGAGAAAAAGATATGACAGCAGTGAAATACTCTTTTCAAATATTCTCTTTGATGCAGTTATTGAAATACCACTAGCTTAGTGGCTTTGTGACTATTTCTTCGGAATTTTTCAAACATGTACACAAAATTCTGTTCTTAGCTGCAGTACTGTACTTTAGGTTTAAAAAAATCTGACTGTTTACTTATTACTTTTCTATCTCTATGTCGATATAAAACCTTCAAGTATTAAAAATTAAATTTCTATTCTTGGATGTACAGAGTTTGGAAAATATTTAAATAAGTGTAGGTATTAAGGAATTCAGTTTACAATAAAAAATTGGATTTAGTAAGTTTTTAAAAATGAATTAAATAAGTTTTGCATATGCATGCTTCTTCAGAAAATTAAGTGAATGTTTTGAGGTATATGAAATGATGAATTCTCTAATTGTACTTGATTTCACTTGATTTAGTTGACTTTCTTCAAAAAGCTTGGCATTTACTAGATTGAGAAGAAAATATCTGTGGGCAAGAAAGATCTTTCTTTTTTAATGTAATGTTAATTCGAAATTATAATATGAACATTCACAAATGTGCAAAGAATTGTTCAATTTACACATGAGTGATTTGTATTTTTAACAATTCAAGTATAATATAAGAAAATTTCTCCTAAACTAATTTACCTAAACCAACTTCTACTTTTTTTACTTTTGGATTTCTAAATCTAAAAAGAGAACTTTATTTCAAACTAGGGTAAAACAAAAAAATAATATTGAGTTTTCCAACTTCTTGTATTCTTATTTTTGCTTGAATATTTGTGTCTACTGGAAGAAATGCATGAACACTTGTTTCCCTTAATGTCTTACTATTTGCTTTTTATGGTTTCTTTCACATTTATGAAAGCAATAGTAGAAGGGCTTATAAATCCTGTTGATTTTCCCCCAACTTATTTGTGAAGAGTGTATCAATAAAATTTATATTCATTTGTCTACACATGAGCAAATTTTCAAAATAATGTTATCAATTTAGATTTGTGACTAAAAAAATGAAATAAAAGACAAAAAAAGTTGTTACGTGAACCAAACTTATCTTTAACATTTGTAATTAAGTTTTTGATATAGTACTATTTGTATCGTTTAAAAACAGAACTACAATATTTTGATACATTACTGAATTCCACCAAATTTCGAGAAAATATCTTGAGAAACGAAGTCTTAAAATTGTTCCCCCATTCATAATAGTAGTTTTCTTATTAATTAAAGTAAAATATTTTGAATTCTTAAAGGAAGCTAGTGTGATGTTTTGCTATTACTGAATATTTTTTTCCTTTTACAGGACAAGGAGTTGTTATGGAGAGATGTGCTTTCAGTGACTTTGTTTTTCTTGAAGCAATGCACAAGGCTGGCTACATTAGTAGAGGAGGTCAGTTCGTAATTCTCTAAGATGAATTTACTTACATTATGTATTATTTCTAAATCACCACAGTACTAGAAGAAAATAGAAAGAATAAATACATGTACGTTACTTTTCGATTTTGATTTAGATTTATTCAGTCAGTGAACGACAATTGAATTTTTAGTTCATTAAATAGTTTTCAGGTTCTGATAAATCCAAGGACTTATCATGTTTCCTTGTTTCATTATTGTGAGTACATAAATATCTTTACTTAACACTAATTACATTGTTATTGCAATTTTTCTTATATTTTTACTTTTAAAAAAATCATTATTTTACTACATTACCATTTAGTTTACATTTTTCCATTTGATTACTTCTGAAGTATAATCAATGATGCATCTAGTGATGGCAAAGGATATATCTGTATAAGACAGTGAAAAGTGCTCCGTAGCAAACATGATAATGGTGATGCTCATATGAAAGATAAAAAAATGCCCTAGATTCCCAAAGTGTCAGCCTCCTGGGGCCATCTGTTGCACAATGAAAAACATGTTTTTCATGTTTTATTTTTTCTCAGCTTCTATTGCATGTATTAGGCTGAAAAAAATTGGAGGGACGGGGAAAAAATAGCTTAATTTGAAGGTATTGCACCAAATATGACAGCTAATTAAAATAGAAGAAATTTTTTTTTTCTAATTGATTTAGACTGATAACTAGTCATTGAGTGTTAATGCACTAAAATGTTTTTAAATAAGCACCAAAAAAGGCAATAAAAACTTAAAATAGGAAAAAACGTTAATATATTTCACTGCACTTGCTCCTAAAATTATCCAATATCAAAAACAATATAACATGAGAGAATATTAATGAGTGATTTGTGAGTGAGCGACATTGGCATCTCCACGTGACTTGAGTTCGGTTACTACATTTAAAGGCCTTCATGTGGTACACGATTCAGACAGTTGGAGCACAATGGAAATGCATCTCACGCCTGGAAGAGATACAGGTCCTAATTATCAGCCAAATCTGCGCACTTCCCTGAAGAGCATCTGCCATAATGGAAAGTTATGAATGTCGGAAGACAGAGTTATCGCCTTGCCCTCTGAGACACGTGTGCTTTGATTATGTCACAAGTCTGTGCTCAGTGGTCAGTGCTCACCTACGCGCCCACCACTCAACCAAGTGCCCAATAACTAGCCCCCAAAATATATTTTTATTAATTTGTGCAAAAAAATGCGCTCTGAAGCCACAAGGAAAGGTTTTCAGCTCCAAAAATTCAACGTAACATGCAAACTCAATTGACAGCTTCAGTCTAAACAAATAGAGATTCGTTCCCAGTAGATGATTAATGTGATTAGTAGAACTGAAAATCATGTAAACATGTATTGGAAATCAAGACTACAAAGAAAAGCATGTTTAAGAAGACATTTACACCATAAAAGACCAAAAAGAAATAAAATAAAAATTTGTCAGAATGTTTAATTTCTCATAATTCATATTTATATGTTATTTGCCTTTGTCATGATTATTTTTTTGGTCTCTACATTTGATTTAGAGGGAGCACTCAAAAACATTTGGATGTTTTCAAAATAAGGATCACCCTAATATATACATATATTTTAGAAAGGTGTTACAAAATAAATTTGTTCTTTGTCGCTATCACACTAAGAAAAAATGCTATTTGATTAGTTCTTGCACTTTTCATTTATATCCAAGCATAAATTTGGGTTTGTTGATGTTTGAAACTTGGGGATAATATAATGGATTGTGCTACCGATATTCAATTTTTTATTTAATTAATATACAATACTTTTTTTACTATATATTATTCGACCAAACTTGCTTAAACCCTTTATCATTTTAGAATATTTATTATGTAGATAAGTCATTACATACAGGCATGGATCCAATTCCCCCCGCCCTCAATTTTTCAGTAACCATTAAATTAAAATTGCATGCATAATATTTGTCAAAACTGGCTTATATTTTCATGCAGTACTGATATTTATATTTACAACACACGTCTTCACTTGTCCACTTTCGGCTGGATCTACCCCTGACCGTAATAAGTACTCAAGAAGAGAAAGAAAATATCTAAAATGAATAAGAAGAAAAGAGAAAGAAATGGAATAAAAATAATTAGTAGAAGAGGCTTGAGAATTCCAGGCGATATTTCACAAACACAGGGGCAAAATATGCCACGAAGATGCGCTTAGTACTTGAGGGAGCGGCGGGATGCGTAGAGCTTTTGTTCGGGGGCACTTGATTGAAAATAAACGCATAAAATCATCAACGCGTGTCTAAGTGCAATATATACTCTTTGCGACAGGCACATGCACATTCCCATTGTACTATGCCTATGTTTTTCCCGCAAGTGCAAGCAATAAGTTGACATAGGTTTATCGTAGTCGGATGTACTGTATGGCAGCATATAAAATGCAAACCTTTATTTTTATGTTTAGGTTTTTATATATTTGGCATATATAGGCTCGAAATATTTTTAAATTATTTCAGATCATGATTATAATCAAATGCTAATAAGCTCCCTCTTTAAATAAGTATTTATTTTCTTATTATGATACATTTACAAGTTCTCTGTTTTCAATTTTTAGGTATGTATGTCATTAATCTACAATAGAAGGGAACATTTCACTCATGGTGAACATCTGGGAACCCCATGAAAATTTTATACGTTTGGAAAATACAGTTTTGGGTTTCAGTAATACAGTTTGGGCAAGATTCTCTTTTCAATGAGTTAGATGTGTTTCACTGTCTGTAAAATTTTATTTTAAACAACTAGTTGTGTCTTTATTTCTATCCATCTCGAAAGTTTAGCCGTTAGCGTTCTTCCCTGTCGGACAGACGTTTTGCAGTCATTTTATTATCGATAGCAAGGACCCACAAAACGTGGATTCTGGCTACACCACATGATAGAGGATTTTGTTCTAAATTTAGCCACTAGATTTATCCACTTTTTCTGTACCCGGGCCTTGTAATAAGAGACTTTTTACCGGAAATTCGCCGTTTTTCCGCCCAGCATTAAATAACTTTCTCTCTACTCCGTAGCAAAAAGGTGAAATAGTCAGACTATCCAAAAAAAACTGTGGCCTATTCTTCACCAGTCCATTGTGTAATATTAGTTTAAAAATAGTTTTTGATGTATTTTACTTTACTGCATCTTCTGTTACATATTTACTGATAGTTTTAGAAATTTTGGGTTTTAATGTCATTTTCACAAGTTAGTAAATGAATGTGGGAAAATAATTTATCAAACTATAAATTAGTTGTTTGCTCTTTCCATTTCTATTGACTTCGTTTCTAATGTTAATTTTATGAATTTGTCCTCATAGCTCGAAGTGTTTATTATGATATTTCCAAGAATACAATATCAGAGTTACTGAGGCCTCATTTGGTTATTTACCTTGACATACCAGTTAAAAAAGTACAAGAAAGAATTAAGAAACGAAACATACCATACGAAGTTAATTCAAAAGTTTTGACACCTAAGTATTTGAGTGATGTAGAAGAATTCTACAAATTGCGATTCCTCAAGGAAATAAGGTATGTTTTATTATGGGTTAGTTGTAGTTAAGAAATGTTAAGATCATGTTATATTAGTTTTTATTAGATTTTAATGAGAAAATGTGGAAGTATGTTAAAAAAGATTTATCAAATAGATGAATTCGAATATTGTAATTCTGATAATGGATTATACAAACTTTTTGCATGTAATGCTTGTTTTGCATATTTTAGAGGTTTTGGGCAAAAAAATGTATTTATTTGCATTATTTCAATTTTCTGCCAAAAAGAACAGATTAATTATTCAAAAATTATTAATAAATGAAAAGAATAAAGTTTCATGATGATTCAAATAAGCGTATACAAAAACTTTCAGATGTCTGACAGTCTTGGACAGACAAAAGCAGTTGGGTATTCTAGCTGGTTATGAGCAGAGTGCAGCTTTCATTTCTTCATAAATTTATTAAAGAATCATCCCCCCTACATGCAAAGCACATAGGATATCAAACCTGGATTTCACTCTCAGTTTCGTTATGTTAGTGTGCAATTCAACAATATTTCTTGTCTTTACTTTGGAGTCACCCTTAAAATAGGTAATGCTAAAGAGGGGGTGAGGCAGAGTTACGCTGCGTAGCTAGGGGTAGGGAGGTATCATTTAGTGTTACGTAACATGCATTCCCCCCCCCACACACAATTTGTTGAAATAATTTCTTTTGTATTTTATTCTAAAACATGAAAATATTAACTAATTAATTTGTTTTAAAAATATGAGTAATGTAAAGTTATTAAAAGATGGTACAGTATTTTATGAATTTGTTTATTGAATTTGTAAAATTACAATGAAAATATTCAAAACTGCTGTATAAATTTTAGAATCCAATTGAATTGTGACAGAAGGCTCTTGCCCATGTGTCATCGACTACAGCATGTGCACAGAATGGGGTCAGAAATTTTCTCACCTATGCATTCTTCATTCGCTGAAAACTTGCTTCCATTCTTAATGTTAGGTGCAATCAGAATCGCCTACTAATTCTAACTTCATTTATCATACATTTTAATACACAACACAATGAAGTAAATACAAATTGTTTTTATTGTGCTATAATTTATTTTCACTTCTTGAAATTACAAGGAAGGCTGTTGTTTGCAAGCGTTATGTAATTATTTAGGGCGTTGCAGGGGGGGGAGGGGTTATTCAAAATACTCCAAATTTGCATTAGATAATTTAGGGATGACCCCTTTTCAGTTTTGTGTGCATATTTAAGATTTGAAGATGCTGAGATTCATTTTAATGTAGCTATTAGCAATTGTCTCTGTGAAACAGATTGTTCTTGGTTCTGTCACAGTCTTTTCATACTATGATTGGGTCAAAATCTTTTTCCAATGGAAATACAGTGCTCTTTCTGTATGTCGAGGCATACTCTTAAAACTGCAAATTATTCCTTTAGAATTTTTTCAAGCTAGAAAACCAAAAAGAGAAGTCAAGGAGGGAGATGGTTCTGAATGGCTGCCATGCTAAAAGCTATTTTTTCATTGTACACCTTGCTGTGCGCAACACTTTAGTACTGTTTTAGTTCATTATTATAACGTTATTCATGCAGCAGTGAACCACTGCTTTCACTTCATTGATCCTGCAACTGGGGTCCACACAAACATGATTGAAATGTGTGCTTCGTCTGTAATGGACATGCATCGTTAATGATAACATTGTCTGCTCATGAATTTCCTTCCTTGTGATCCTTGTCACCATTCCAACAGTTAAGTTGTTAACACTGAGTGGAGAGGAGTGTCATAGAACAAATGAACATCACACTCTGCTCATAACCAAAAGATTGCTAGAATCTCCATACAATTTGTTGAGGTATCGAGTTAAAATAAAATGAGTATACGATAATGGGAAGATGATTCTCAAATGAGAAAATACATTCCCTGTGTTCATACCTTTCAAAGAATGCATTGAGTATATTTCAAAATACAAATATGCGCTCACCAAAGCTTGTAATGTGAATTAATTTAATCAAGTAATCTTTTTTGAATTACAAGACCATATGGTCTGATTGAAGCCATTCCCTGATAATAAAATGTTTCAACAAATTTTTTATTTGTTGTGTTCCTAATGCAAAATAAAATGTTCAGAAGTGGATAATATGTTTTTAATTTGCCAATTCCCTCTTAACTCTAGGTGGCAAAAAGATGTGATTCATTGCAAAATTCATGTTTTCTTAACCAAACGCTGAAGATTTGAAACATTACGGGCAAATTTGAATGTTATTGAAGCATTTCATAGGTCTAAAATCTTCCATAAATATCCTTCATATTACTCAATTCGTGTTTTTACTTTTGAAGTGATATCTCATTATGTTCTAATAAATATTTATGTTTTCATAGTCAACATTCAGAACTTTTGGTTTATGACTGGTCTGACTTTGGAGATGTAGAAGTTGTCATTGAAGATATTGAAAGAATTGATTTTGATCAATATGACAAATACGAATTAAAGCTGAGAGATTGGAGATTGCCTGATGAATGGGCGTGGTGTGAACTTCGTCAAAAGTAAGGGTTATCATTTCTTGTTATTCTCTTGTGGATATGAAGCCAGCCAGAGACATTGTGTTTGGTAACATAAATATTAAATTTGGTTACAAATTTTTAAACAGGTATACAAAAGGACGACATTTCTTGATTAATAACTTCCTTGTTCCCCGACTGGATGTCCCAGAACTGCTCATCCCTGCGAGTGATATTGTGCAACGAGATCTGGTTTATAGCCAGGTGAGTATTTTCAGTTTCATCATGCTCTCATATGTTCCCAGAATTTGTGGGCTCTTTTTAAATTATATGCAGGAAATTGGTTTATGCACTCTTCTTTTTAAATTATGAGTAGTGGAGTATGATGTGTCATTTTATTGGATCTCAGACCCAGAAATTTTTTAGAAACCTTTGTAACAATATATTCAATTCAGCAAAAATGTTCATTTTTAAAACTACAAATCGGATGTTAGAAGATACTGTAAATTATCTTGTGCTTTCATATATGTTGATACTGATTGAAAATAGGTTTTAAATTTTTGCCTTCAGAGAATCATAAACTTTAATATTAATTACTTCTCAATTTTTATGCCATAGGAAATGCATTAAATTTACGTAACTTACATTCCAAGATGATTGCAGAACGTAATTCCTTGATCTTCCTTAATACTTTTACTGCATAAATCTAGAAATGGCAGTGAAAGTTACCTTATGTATCTTATGTGGTGTGTGGAATTTTATTAAAGCACCGTGAAATCTATACTATTAACCATATTTTTAAAAGTCCAAAGATTGGATTGAAGATAATTAAATATTAAAATATTATGAACTCCATATTTAATCAGTTAATTGATGTCAAGAATCAGAATTGCAATTTTGAATTGAGTTTCAAAAATGTAAAATGTATTACCAAATATTTTTTCTAGCATTGATTTGAAGTTAGACGCGTCTAGGATAAACTCTTCAATATATTGACTTATTTAAAATTCCTAGTTTCTGTGTAACAAGAAGGAGCTGTGCCCACTACTGAATCAAAAGGCTTGTATCATCTACAGAATATTTAATGAGTAAAGGCTATGCTCATGTATTTAAGTATGAAATATTGAGTACATTAAATAAAGTAAGTAATCTATCCAAAAAATTGTGCTGTAATTAGGCAACAGAAAGTTGCACATGTTTATTCCTGACTACAATATATTAGCTGGATCACTTTTCCAAAAAATGATACCACTTGCTTGTGGTTTTCAAGTGATTTTAGGATAATATTGATTGAATACAATAAGTATGTAAAAGCAGGTAACATGACTTCTGATCATAATTAAGGGTGAGGGAGAATATAATGGTAAACCTCAAATTTGAAGTTTTGTAGCTTTTTATGGAAATACAATAGTGACCCTACAGTAAACTCTAAGAGTTTATTTATATGACTACAAATAACAGTACATTTTGCGTATGGTAACTCGCAGCAACTGACAGAAAACCATACAATCTCAATAGTATATCATTCCAGCACATTCAGTTTACCTTGAATGTGAATTACAATTGTTTCCACTTATTCTTAAATTATCATTTGTCCAATTTTTGTACGTTCATACATTTGTATACATTGAACTGAACAAAATTATACCACTACAAGGTTTTGAGGGAAATAAATAATACATCAGAACTGATTCACAAAAAAGGAAATGGTTTTAGTGTTTAGATTATCAGTATGTTTGTCTCGAATTTCAAGTAACAGTTAACATACATTTGAAAAATTTTGTAGAAAATTGTGTGTGAAATGAACAAATCAATACTAGGAAAATTTGAAAAAAATAGTAAAAAGATTTCTGAGATTCGAAAGATCTGCAACAAGAAGGAAGACTAAAGGGGGGGAAAATGTAGGACCAATTTTCCATCAGTTCACCAGTTTTCCAATATTCTGCATTTCATAAAACACTTGTTATTGTGCTTAATTCACCTGTGCATGTTATCTTAACTTTTGATTTTTAAATTCTTATGTTCTGTGCAGACTCCTAGTATGAAGTATTCTCGAGGCTTTAATGCAGATGCAGGTGATACTGGCCTCCTTTTTAAGGATAAGGAGCCACCAAAGGAACAGTTACACTCGTAATACACCTACTACATTTGCTAGTGACAGAGCATGGGAACATGAAGTGTTGTATACTTGTAGAAATATTAATAATTATTTGATATTTTGTAATTACGTTTGAAATTTAGAGAGTTTTCCAAGAAGTAAATGATTGGAATATCTGAATATTGTTACATCTTTTACATCTTAAAAAGTTTACTACTGGCTTTGACAGTGGTAATTGATTTTGTTAAATTCCCACTTGTAAAAACTGAAATGCCAATAAATGTGTAATTTATTTTTCCTGAGAGGACTTGCAATTTTGTTCATTTGTAGATTATAAGAACATTACCATTTAGAGTTTCAATAAAAGTAATTTACTTATCAGATTTACTTTTTAATTTCTTGGCCCCCACCCACCTGCTAAAGGCCACTGTAGTTAAGCCCATCCAAGCCTCTGAGCTGACTGAGGATGCAGAATAGCTTTTCATGTGATCATTTCTCCATCTGACATTCTCTTGTTCTGCATTTGTTGTACCCATGTACTTGCCGTATGTGTGTGAGGGAATAGGTGACATGGGAGTTGAAGGATTATGTGCATGCTCACTGGCTGAGCTTATAGGGTGACTGGGGATGTTAGTCTCTCCGTGCTAGCAAGCTACAGGGAAGAGTTTACAATATTACCTGTTCACATTTCCAGACAGAGTGCTGCAGTGAGTTTTCATGGTATTGCCAACTGAATGAGTATTGCACATCTACAGTAGCTACTGATGGATTAGATATACGTAGTTAGTGGTGTGTGGATATAGACCTGTTTATTCAATACAACCTATGTAATGTAGATGGTGTTGGTCATTGCAGGACGTGGAAGAGTAGATGCGAGCAAGCACATAGCCTTTGTGTAATAGATATGTGCAAAAGAGAAATACAAATAGTTTCTGTGCTTTTTGTGAATAGCATGTATTTTTGATGACAAAGTGTATTTTACTGCTTAGCTATTTCTAATGGTACACATTGTCTTTTCTCGTGACAGTAGTTCACAACATTATTTACAATTAATTCACTTCCTGATCGCTCTCTCACGTACGGAAGTGGATTTGAATTTTCCGCATACATTACAGAAACGACAAAAACAAGTTTTTTTTCCCCATACTGTCTCAGCTAGCATCAGCGTTGATCAGATGCAGTTGTACATCAGCACTCTCCTGAATGTACCTCACACCTGAACCCCACAAGCCGCCATCGGGTGTCATTGAACGCCCTCAATGTTGCAGTGACAGCAGAATAATGCAGTGACACCAAAATAAAAATTTACCTACTCCACAATCCGTGCTTTATTGGCAAGAAATAGCTCCAGTTGTATTAAACGTTTCCAATATTTGAAAATTACAACAATATTACATGATTTCTTGAAACATTAAAAAAAATTGTGAACGAAAACGATTTCTCTCGAACATTTTGAATTTGGCACCGTTTTTTGTTATCACGTTTATTCTAGGACATTCTAATAGTGGCATTTGGATTATTATATTGATAATAGTTAAAGTGAAAATAATGATATATTCTTCAACGAGCGCATAATGATGGCTATTATTCACGAGTTGGTGTTTACGACACAGGCAATGTAGTAGCGAATGTTGAAATTTCTACGAGTGAATAATAGCCTTTAAGCGCGAGTAGAATACTATACTTTATTCTGAAAATTTCAACATTGTAGAGAGACTTTGAACAGATATTTTGTTATTTACGTTGGCTAACACGCGCTTAGCTCGTTAGCAGCCAATCATCTAACGCTTTGAGTGCAATCTTAGCAACGGCCGTTAAAATGCTCGAGTCCATTTTAGCAAACTCTAGCATTTAGGTTTTACTGCTCATAAATCTTTGGATAAATGTTTCTTTTTCCCCTACTTGGCCATTGTCCCATTTCACCCTCTGCCCCATGTCCCATTGGCCTATTTGTCCCCCTTCACCGTTTGCCCCCATGGCTCATTTTGTTCTGTCTGCACTGTCCCGGTTTGTCCTACTGTCCCGTGTTGTACCCTTGCCCTGTTCATCTTCCTTTCTCTGCTTTGTTTCGCTTGTCTCCATTTGGCCCTTCCGCGCACTGCGATTGTTATTTAAAAATGTTATTGCAAATTGCAAAGAGAGTGCAATTCTGCCCATGGATTCCGAAAATTCTAGGAATGGGATTGGTCTTCAGGCTGTGAATTCCACACTGGAATCCACCAGGTGTGTAATCGATGTTATCCGTTGATTAAATATACAGCAGGAATACTATATTATTAAATGGTCGTAGATATTTTTTTTTTAACTATGTGCTTCCTTCTTCAAAGCACTCAGTGGAAGATTTCTACACTGAGTGCTTTGAAGGAATAATAGATTTTTAATGTCATTGCTACATTTTTTTATTGCATTGCGGGGGCATTTCTAAAGTCCGCAACACTTAAATAATCACAGGGCTAGTACCTATTTTGTTAAACGTAATTCGAATGTTAAATGTAGTACATATTTTTTTGAACCATGAATGTTTTATATCAACCACTTAAATACTATGGCAATTATAACACAAGTGTACACTGGACGTTAAGTTAATTAGAAAGTTTGAAAGATATTTAAGTTCACCTTTCAATGTACTTTTGCACGACCTGCCTCATGTGATTTAGGGACCCCCCAAACCTTTGTTACATTTTCAATTATAAAATATTCTATTCTAATTCTAAAAATTAAGTATTAAAAATAAAATTTAAATTCAGAATTAAAATTATTTTTAAGAAAACAAGACACAAACTACATATGTAGGCAATTTCCCCAAAAGAGATAACCTGGTTGTGCCACGGAGGATATCCTATGAATTTAATTCGGACTAAATGATTTTGATTTGTATGTGATACTATGTGCAATGCAATTCTCTTGTTCATTATTCAATACCGTTTCAATTGTACCGAGAAACGAACTTCTTCCGATGCCAATCCGTGAGGAAGAGTAGGCAACAGCTGCCAAAAAGTCACACTAAACGCTTTAAAATTTCGACAATTCTTTACCATGTGACAATCGCATTATTCTATTTTCCCTCGCCTGCCGAACGCAACCATTGTGACAGCTGTGTAAGAGGGGAAGTGGTGCAGAATCCGCACTGTTGCCTGGCAATATGTTCTTCAGACATTCTTAATAGTTAAATACACTGGCCATACGTGTTCTAGCTGAACGATACCGAATATGCAATTTTCAGAAAAGAATACACACTGTTTAAGAGTAATCATAAACGAACACTTTATTGAAATACATTTGGCTGTTTGTAATATAATTAACATTTATAATATCATTAAAAAATATACAAATTTGGGCATTATTAACATGATAAGGAACTAACTTTTTTTAGGTACAGTTACAATATAATTAAGAAAGGCTACCGGAATTAAAATAATTATTTTTAAATCGCAGTGTTTTGGTGTCTAGATGGGATGGTCGGTACGGAATATGAATTTTTGAAAAAAAGCATACACACAGATTGTAGGCTAAGTAAACATATACAAACAAACTACATAAAGCTATAATTTTTTTGAGTTTTTTAATTTGTTTAAGGTTGTACAACAGTCAGAAGGATTTGCTTTTCCGAGTCATAGAGCCTTGACTCCAAAAGCATCGCATTAAAGATTAAATGACATATATTCGTCTTATAAACAGACGAATCAATGCGCGATATAATTTGACGATGAGTTTAATAGAAGCCTGTCGTGTCAGAGGAAGAGATTGGAGGAGAAAGAGAGTAGTGTCAACAGTAACTTTTGAAGCAAACATAAAATCTCAACCGATTTTCAAGGCTAATCCAGCTTAAGATGCTGTCAGTGGCCCAATTATTGGCAGGTAAGTATATTGGCAAGTGCCCATAAAAACACATTATAAACTTTTAAATGAATCACAAAAACGTCTTAAGATGCTGTATATTTATTCAGTCTCCACAACTCTGTGAGAATGTACACAATGTTTTGATGCAATTTTAGAAAACATGAAATGTAATACGAGACAATTTTCCTTCCATTCTCCTTTTATAACATTCTATCACCTAACATGACCTCACCTAAGTGGATTGGGTGACGTCGTGCGCGCATGTAGTACTAACGTTGTGGGGTGCGCCCTTGGGGAGCGTCAGCTGCGCTGAGTCGAGAGCCTCCGCCAGAAGCGCGCCTTCGTCCTTCGGCGCCAGCGAAGTCAGCAGTGTTCAAGAAGCCACCGCTGCGAGCGGTGCAATCGAGGCCGACAGAGCGAGCGGCAGTGGAGCCAGCGGGCCAGAGTCTGCGCGGGCGGCTTGTGCCTTGCGTTTTTCGTAGGCGGCCGCGATGCGGTTGCAGCGCCGAAGGCTCACTCCGGGAGACTCGGGCAGCTCCAGAATGACGAACTCCTCTTGGCGGGGGCGGCCGGCGCGCGCGACCCTGCCACACCCCCACCCCGCACTCTCACGCCGTTCTCGAGCTCATCTTTCTCGCTGAGAGTCTGCATCAACTGTTTTTTCCAGCTATTTCAGTTTTGCGCGAGTTTTACAATCACGTCGAGACCGCTCGTGTCATGAAGCCAATGCAAGGAAAAAAGAAATTGTGTACGGAGTTCGACGGACGAATAATGTTTGTTGAAACAAGACTAATATAAACCAAGGGTTCTAATTCAATCAGAAGAAATGGAAAGAAGTATTTCGTACGTAGGAATGTTATTTCCATTACATATGTTATTATATTTCAATATATCGGTTCATAAGTTCACTAGATATTTTATGATACAAGCGCGCCGTGTTGTAGAATAAGTTTAACCACATTGTTCTCTGACAGAACGTAGCTTTTTTGATCCAAACCAATCACGTTTACTGACAACTAGCGAACTCGCATGGATTCGTTGCATTTTTTTTTTTTGTATCAAACGTGAGTTCCAGAAGTTTGATCAAATTGTGCATTGATAAATCGTTGCCTAATGAGTTTACTAACAATACTCTCGCGCAACGATGGCGCTTACGTTTGGCACGATTTGACTACTCTCAGGGAATGCAGAATTCTCGCATTACTTTCCCAAAAACAATTGCAAAATACAGCTATCGACCTTGATTCCTTGCTCTACTGATGACCACAGAAGCAGCCAACACTTAGACATCTGGATCATTGTTACTCTAATGTACATTGTAGTTTAGGAGTTTGATACTCTTTCCGTGAACCTCTAGTTTTTATAACAGGCATTGATTTATAATTTTGATGATCTAATCTAATAAAAGTGCCCATCGATTTGGTCTATTTCCCTCTACTCCCCGCCAATAATTCACTAAAATTTGGGTAATGTGTGAGAAGAATTTCGCAATACGTTTTTTATTGTTCCTTAAAATTTTAATTATTTTGTAGTGTCTTATATTATCGCCGCGGGAAAAAGAAAGAACAGTTGCAGTATACCAAATCCATGATACTGTAACAAGGGAACTTGTTGCAGTATACTGCAACTATTCTTTTTTTCCATATGTTACTTATTTCTGTACTACCGTTTAGCAATTAAATATTATGAAAAACATGTTAAAATATTATTGAGTAGAATATCTATGTAATCAAATATTTGAAATAATTCTGAACTTACGACCACAAAACAAAAAATGAAAAACTCATAAAAATATTTAATTCTTCACTTCTATGTATACTTACGTAACGAAGAGATAGTCTTGAAATGCCACAGTAAAAAGGATTTGGAATTTACCTTACCAGTTGCGCGATACGTCACGTTTCAATGCTATTTTCTTTGCCCATAATTCGGCAAGAAGCTACAGATCATTCAACTGTTACTTTTGTTTCAAGAACTTAACGGGGATCTCTACGAAATGAAGCAAATGTACTCTCAGTAATTACCCCTCTTGATCACGATTAGTCAATGCTTGATCATACTCCACCTGTAGAAAGATCTGAGGAAGGAAGAAATGATTATGTGGCAATCACTTTGTTCTATTAACACTACTTCCTGCAAATGATATACGCTAAAAGCTTGTCTAATATATTAGTAGCATTTCGCATTATGGTTTTCCTTCAATATTGACTTTTTTAGTACACTTGTTCTGTGCTTGCGACCATAAAACGAGTATTTAATTTTTTGCAGTGATATATGAGAGTACGTATTTTATTGGTACTTCATGAGTAGAAGGCGGATTTTGTTGAACTAAAACATTGCCAAATTTGATCAATAAAATTATCTTAAAGGGTTTTTAAAATACCCTAAAGTAAATGAAAATGTAAAATTTTTAATCAAAACCAGTTTAGATGAACAACTCAAGTTATTGGACAATTTACTAAAGCAATTGAGAATTCTTCCTTTTGTTCAGGTGAACACAGCTTACATTTTGGTTTGGCCTGTTCTTTATCAGGAAATCTGTCTTTAGTTATCCCGACTTCGGCCGAATCGACAAGGGCGGTGATAGGCGTTAGATTACACAGCGGCTGACATTACGAGTACAAGTTCTTAGCGAAGAAATCGAATAGGCTAAGGGGTAATTCTGTGGAGAACATTTGTTGCAAATCGTAAACATTATTTGAAGCAAGTACCTTTAATATTATATTGAAATCGATGAAATAAGCGAAAAATTACAGGAAAACATACAGAACGCTCCATAAGTCGAAATCGAAAAATGGAAGAAAAAAAGTATAAAAATGGATCATCCTTTTGTAATAACATAAAATTAATGTCTACAGGATGATTCAGTCCTCGTTGCTAAAACGCAGGGGTCTTATACCTTATGTTATGTACAGACTGAATTTGCCCAAATTGGATACTCTTCGTTGTGTAGTTTTGTAAATAATTATCGTTAAACTTTAGGCTACGCGCGTGTGCTCGTGAAACACGGGCTGCGGCAAGTGAGCGAGCGGGCCTCTTCTTTGGAAAACGCGACTGCTAATGCTATCCGAGAAGCCCTGGAAGCGAGCACAAGGCAAATAGCGCGCGAGGTCAAGATAACACAGTCCCTCGTATGGCGAACAATTCATGCGGAGATATGACGACTTTTCCATTTCCAGCGGGTGCAGCATTTTCGAAGCTTTCACTTATAACGTCGTTTTCAATTCTCTAGGCTTTTTCTGAACAAATGCAAAGAAAATAGGAATTTTGTTCTTTGGTCAGATGAAGCCTGTTATACAAGAACTGGCACAATTAATGTGTCCGGCGAAGGTGTAACGGTCAGCCCAAGATAGCGAGTGTTCCCAAGTTCAAACCCGATCATAGCAGTGGATTATTAAGGGCGAAAAAATCCGTCGTACGCCCTCCTTCGAAGGGGAAGTAAAGCCAGCTGTACCATGTTAGTAGATTTACTTGCATATAAATGATCCTCAGGCCTAAATGACGCCTCTGAGCTAAATTCAAATCGCCAGTTTTGTCGCCCAAGAAATACTTCCTTTCTCCGCTAGTTGATGAAAGGAGCGTAGCAAATTTTGCGTGGTCAGACGGAAGATGGCCCGAGTCTCGCGACGTAAAATAGGGCATCAATTCAATTCAATTCAATTCAATTTGCATGCGAGGGCCAAGGAAAACCCGCATATTGCACGTAGTGTAGCTCATCAAGAGCGATTTTATGGAAATGTGTCGGTTGGCATTGAAGATGAATTTATCCTCGGTTCTCATTTCTTACCTAAAAATGCGTCCTTGCCTCTTAAGAAGCGTCCAGAATCTGAATTTTGTAACTCAGGTATTCCCAACGCTTTTGGAGCTGGGGTTAATGAAAGACCGAGTTTATGCTACCGAAGTCAAAAAATAAAGGTTCAACCCTGCAAAGTTGTGCGAGTAACAGAGGCCGTGCGGTGCAGATGCCTTTCTTGCGTTCAAGCAAGAGGAGGCCATTTTGAACACTTGCAGGGCCCCTGTTACACGAGGTGAAAATACGAATTGGCTGTAGCAAATATGATAAACTGTCCAACATAACACTTAAATAATATTGTTCTCTCCTTTCGTATTAATTAGATAAGTAGGCAATAATTGCAACGGAATAATAACTAATATGTGAACTACATTTTTTGAAAAATAAGATCAATGACAAAACATTTTTCTTCGAAATTGTGAATAGGGTTTAAACTATTTCCTTTTGCAGTCGTTAATTACTTAGTGTATTCTGTCTTCGGGTCCTGTGAGAGGAATGAAGACAGAATCTTTCTACTAAAAAGCATTGCTCCGAAGTGAAAAGAAAAGTGTGACATTTCATTAAAATCCGCCCCCTATTAATGAGTAATGTACTTGCTATATTTTAGAATAATAATAATAATAATAATAATAATAATAATAATAATAATAATAATAATAATAACGAATTTATTTTAAAAAAGTATAAAGGCAACCTCCCTTGTTTAAAAAACGTATAAAGGCAATATATGAACAGAATATCAAATAATAATAATAATAAAAACAATGCATTTGATATTTGAAACAAATTTTCAATAAATGTTCATTCAGCATTATAGGCAAATGTTCTTGGAACAATTCACAACACTCCGTAAAAACATTTGGAGTAATTATACACTCGCTCTACAGTTTGCTTTTCACTTTCCTTGATAGCCCCAAACATATTAGAAAAGCTTGAGCTCTTGAGATAGTTACGTAAAGTTGTCCATGGGAAAAAATACCGGATCGGACCAATACAATAGTACTCTTTGCAATGATTCAAATTTACTTTGCATTGCAATGAAGTATAGAGAAACGCCGAACCAGCAAAAATGTAATAAAATGTGAAAGAAGATTTAATCCCGTAGATTATGGCGAGAAACTTTCTTCAAAGCGTTCGGTCTCAAGATACCAGGTTTTAAGGCCCTAGAATGCTTAGTAGTGGAATAACAGTGTCCAAGTGCCGCGGGTTGCATTTGACAAGAATATTTAGATGAGTTTTTCCAACATATCCTTCATATTTTTAAAGTTGAAATGCAATTCGTCAATTTTTTGTGAAATCCCTTTCTTTAGATACACCATTTATTCACTCTATATACTACTGAAATAACATATGAAATATGTGCGTACTATATAAAGATAGTGTTTTATTTGTTGAGCAGTGTGCATGCTACTTTTTGTAAAAAACAAACATTGTGTGTGTGTGTGTGTGTGTGTGTGTGTGTGCGTGTGTGTGTGTGTGTGTGTGTGTGTGTGTGTGTGTTTATGTGTGGGTTTGTGAGCGTGCGCGCGCGCGCGGTGTTTCAGCAGAATTTTTGCTTCTGCGGGCAATTTATTTTCTCCAAATTTCAACCTGCTAGTTATTTGACGGACGTAGAGAACTGATCTCTATTTGGCTGAAGTTGTAGAGGTAAATGACAATTGCACTTATTTGTAGGGAATAATTGATATGAATGTAATAAAATCAATGACAGATAAAGCCCCCTACCAAAACGACATATTTCTTGTATAGTTATATTTGTGTTGTTTTAGATGTTTTATTTAAATGAACAAGAATTTATTTAGCGATATATTTAAGAATGGTTTCCAAGGTTTGAGAAGATTGCAATATTTTAATTAATTATTAGGGTTATTTTACGATACGAAGATAAGTACACCCTGACATTGCCGAATCTGTACTGGCAGGTCTGGCAACCTGTGTCTGGGGAGTACACTGCGATTTTCGCAACTCTCCCCTTGGCAGGTATTGGGGGGACACTTTCATCGAATCGAGAGCTTAATCGTCATCATAGTGACATCACTATAGTGACGTCTAAGCTCCCTATTGGATGAAACTGCCAACAGCTGGTTTCTGCCAGGGGCAGAATTTTATAAAACGCAGTATATGTTGCAACCTGATTGACTTCTCTCTGGCTCTTCGGTCTTTCATGGCGCCTGTGGCAGAGCCTGAGCGAGAATGTCAGGTGTTCACTGCCGATAGCCCCCTTAAGTTAAGTTTCCAATCAATCGTGAAAGACACGTACATTGCCGTAAAAGTGCACTTTGACTAGTGAATTTTCAGTGACATGAAAACAGTGATTAGAGGAAAATTTGGGTAATACTAGGTCTTTTGAAAATGTTTGCATTTTAAAAGAATCATTTATGAAATGAGGTTTATTTCAGGTATTGTGTGATTTTATTAACTGAAGAATGCAAAAGAAAGTCTGTGTCTCACCTTGTCAACCGCCGGGGTGTATCCACCCAAGGAAAACATGAAGCGTTTATTATTCAGAAAAGGCATTATTCCAACTTAAGGTTAGGGTTGACGAAGCCGCTACTGGTGAATAGTTCCCGAACGTTTATAAATCCATCAAGAAGTGTAGCAATGATTGTAGCCAGGGTTCTTAGAGGGGCGTTGAAAATACGTTACCTCTTACTTGGAGGTGCTGTTGGAGGGGGCATGACCCTTCAAAAGGTAGGTGAAGAGGAGATTGTGGTACATGATAGAGGGGTGTATTTGTTAACTATTAACTGTATATTTAATTCCAGACTTACGAACAATGGAAGGAAAATCTTCCAGATATGAAGTGGTTGGATGAATATATTCCAGACACTGAGCAGTGGAATGCGCTTAGAACTTCCCTAATGGATATAAAGGACAAAATAGTTGACAATGTAGAAATAGGTAAGATACTTATTTCAGCGTGCAGTAGTAGGTAGTCTTATCTAATTTTTATTTAAATTTGTATTTGTAACTTTGTAAGGATTATTAGAGGTGTATGATATATTAGTACAAACTATATTAGTACAAACTATATATTAGTACAGTAAGTTATTTGCAAGTAACAGTAAGCAATTAGACTTCTCTATTTCTTTTATAAAATAAATTTTAGTTTTTGAAGTAGAATTGGGCAGTTTTCTTAGTTTTTCTTTCTGCACTAAAAAATTAGGTATTCTTTTTTAATTCTAAAGGTGTAGATTGGCACTGTATGTTACAATCTAAAGAAAATAACTGGGGTAAAGATTGAAAATGCCAAACTATAGGTATTGTTTTGAATTGTGTAAAATAGAAGTTAATGTTGGCAAGATGTCACTCAAACTTTACTGAGAAATTTTAATTCACATTGGGTAACAATTTTGTAGTTCTTATTATATTTTGAGTTAATTTATTCTTTTAACCATTACCTTCTTGGAATGTACCCTTTTGGATTTTTTAATTCCTTAATGAGAAATGATAAGGGAATATGTACTGAAAAAATGATTCATGATAAGCATTTTGAAAAGACATAAATTAAATTTGAAATGTGATTTTTTCAAGTTAATAAATACGCAGTAATTTGGTAAATGATTCAAATTTCATATTCAGAGAATTAAAAAGTATCATAAATAAAAGTAGGCATTCTTTGGCATTCGAAAGGTGAGAGGGTGCTTATTCACTTCCGTTTCCTTTTGTCTTCAGGTTGTTTGACATCAAAACATACCCCTTGAATGTCATCTGTGTATCATGCACTTGACACCTGTTAACTCCCAGACTCCTGAACACACAAACCTCTGGTCTTACTTTTCCTACGATGCGACATTTATCTTCCTTGAATAGTCCATGTACCATGCACGTTAGTTTCAAATTATTGTATTCTATGTCAATTACTTTAATTTTCTTGTTAACAAATTTCAATGCAAGTTTATCATTTTGAAACTTTTTCCAATTTTCGTATTGCCATTCTTTTATAGTTTAATGAATAAATCATTTTGAATTATGCATTTGTATTGCTACTTAGAATATTATACCAATTTCAGTCTAGCATCAAATTTCATTGAGAAATATTCCTTGTTCGTGTTGCAAATTGAAGTACTGAATGAATTCAATGCAATAAAAAAAATAAAGATGCTATGATAACATTAGCTAGTTATACTGTTATTGCAGATCCAAGGCTAAAGGCTCTAGGTGAGGCACAATACCAGAACTTTCGAAATTGGTTTGACAAGAGATTGAATGATGCTATTGAAGCAGCAGAGACAACAAATTGGGATTCATCATCACTAATTAATAGTAAGTGGTTTTGATAAATTGAGAAGCAAAATAAATTTATAATGCATGAATATTGTTTCATGAAAAGACAAAAGTATTTTCTGGAGCTGCTTTATGTCAATTGGAAATCTGTGTTGGTGAACAAAGTATGATTACTATTTATGATACATTGATTTAGCTCAGTTTTGTCATAGATGTATATTACTACTTTAGGGCTTCTGCTTTTCAATAGTATTCGTTAGTAGTGTCTGCAGTTAGTATTGTTAATCTGTTCAATTTAAATTATCCATCTTGTAGATTTTTTTTTTCAGAGGAGTAATCTGAAAGTATTTTTAAAATAATAGGATATATTTTACATGTTGGGGGAAAGAGCGCTTTGCGCCCGTCTTTTGTCTTGATGACCTGCGAACAAGTCGTGCTGTTCTATACAACTATCAACTTATGGAAACTTACGTGTATTTGTATTTGTGTGAACAGAACCTAACCATGGATGAGTATGACCTTGCAATGTAACAAAATCTTCTTTAACCTAAAGCAATGGAGGAAAATATTACAGAGTGTGTACAAAACAATTAAAATTATAAGAACACTTCATTTGGAAAAATCACAAGTCTCAAAATGCAATATTACAGTGTTCAAGTAGCAACAGGAAATCTCTACCCATCCTTTTGCAATCGTTTCACCACAAATACTCCATGAGATAGCTGTCCAAATCATTTTGTCATAAACTACTGCATGAGGGACAATGACGTGGGGGGCACTGTTGGTTTTCTGGTGTTTCTTCCGTTCCCTACCTCCAAAACCCTTTTCTCTGTTCCCAGTAGCAGTTATAATGCCCCACAATCTGCACAGGGCGTTTGAGAGGGAATGGGTCGATGTTCATGACACCACTGAGTATGGACTGCCTCATTTTCCACAATATTTGACAATGTCATCCAATTCAAGTTGAAATGACAGTTGAAAGGTTGGCAGAATGAACCGAGAATATGCACATTTGTTTTGTTGGGAAACCTGTAGTGACATATGAACATCGAAATGCTCTATCCCCCAACATGTAAATAACAGCCAAATAATATTTTTGACAGAATGTAATTAATTGAAGATAAACAAATAATCAGGTATTTGACATTGAAATGCTGTAAATAAATACACTTATATTTATTAATTTATTGAGTAAAGGAACTGGCTTACAGATTTTGAAGAATAAGGAAAACCAATTATTAGTTTAAACTTTGTTTAGATTAAAGTGTTGGAAAGACAATTATTTAAGTTGTAAAACAAATAATTAAAATGTGTAAATGAATCTGAAAACCTTAGACTTTTAATTTTTTCAGTAATTTATTTAAATCGATTTAATATCTTGAAATATATTCACTTTTTGAAGGTCTAAATTCTTTATCTTTGCATGAAGTTTGATTCCATAATTTTGTTTTTTATATTTGAACTTGCAAAATTTGTTTTTGATTTGTGCAGAAAATAGTCTAGTAGGAATACAGATTCTAATAAATTTTTTTCATTTTAATTTAATATTATAATGAAAACTGTTTATATTCACCTTATTTTAAATTATCAATTATTTATATTATCAATACATAAGCAGGTTGGTTGCTTTTGAAAAATTGTTCAAATTAGGAAGGAAACTGATAATTAATAGTATTTCATTTGTGTCCAAGTTATACAATACAGAAAAGAATCCAAATTATGATTTTTCAGAGTAGTTTTAAATCAGCTTGGTGTCTACAACAAAACTGTATATCCTTTTCTATAGTATGTTTGCCTTTTAGTTTTGAAGTGTGTTGTTATATCAATCTTATTTGTGACACACTAATTCAAATACAGGACATGTTCTATATTGAAAGTATTTTTTTTTTTTCATGTTATTATTACAATGGTGACAAATTGTTGGAAGTTCTGACACTTACAGTTGCTGTGATTGTTTATTAATTTTAATATTTTGTTATAATTCTTAAATATTGGGTTGGAGATGAATTTTTGTGAACCTTGTTGCTGTTTTAAGTGTAATTTGCTGTACATATACTTTTTCTCCCTGATAACAACTGTTTAACAAATTTTAGTTTCTAGAAAAAGTTTATTTATTTAGTAGTGTTTGTATATTTGGGCTCCTTGAGGTGGTGTTTCAGGGATCTGGAAGGTAAGAACTATTGAACAGATGTAGTAGTATTATTGATGTGCATCGTTATTCAGCTGGCATATAAAACGCTTCTCTATTATTGCACATTATATTTTTTATTGTGATTGCATTTTACGATGGTTGTTCCATTGTTTGGCATCAGTTTTTTTTATTAGTTTTTTAATGAGCTTTAAAATATATTAAGATTTTTGCCTTTTTGGATAGTGGTGACCTGCCTGCATCATAAATTTCAATACTTTATTGAAATGACATCTGATGTGTGCCGAGAACAAACAGTGATTAAATCAAAGGGAAATATTTCTAGGTGCTGTTTATCTGCAAAAAGGAGTCTCACTTGGTTTTTGCTTTTTTATTTAATTCAAATTTTCTTTGCTTCACTCTCAGGGCTGTATTTGTGGAGAAGCAACGAAACTCCACTTTGAAGAAATCGAATCTTTGTGTAAAGCCATTTTGAGATATTTTAAGTGTGTGTATGTTGAGTATCATACATTTAGTCATCAATTCATTTTTTTAAAAATATTTCCCAGTTTGACCTTTTGTGTTGTTTTTACTCTTGATGCTGTTATTTTAGTTCTCGTATGCAACATTTTAAGAGTGCAGTTCTCTCCAACAAATGCAGTTTCTGGTATCTAATGAATAATCTATTTCAGTTAACATGTCCTTATAATGTTGCTTATTTAATTTTTGGGGTAAATTGTAATGTGCTAGAATAGATTTATGGATTTAATTAAAATTTAATATGTGGCATATTAGGGCAGTAGAAAAAGCAAATATTTTAAAAGATAATGTATGGTCAGTATATTGGGCCCTCCTAATATGTTCTTTAGCGTCCTTGACTAAAAGAAATAGGAATAATTTACTTTTCATGGAGATATACTAATGAGTTCATTGTGGCTTAATTGGTGGTGTAACAGGATGCTGTCATCTTCAATAAATCTGGGTTAATGGTTCTTGACTTTTGTAAAATAGTGACATTAAAAATCTTACTTAATGCAGGCTTGATTCTAACACATTTATTGGATAATGCTAGCTGCATGATGTTTATATATAAAGTGTAAGATTGTGGGAAATCATATCTCTTATTATTCCTCTATTAACTCTTTCAGGGATTTGATTAAGATAACATTTGCACTCATTTTTACCACAAATCACTTGTACAGTATTCAAAGTACAAATACTTTTAACACAATATCCGTTTAGTTTCCGAGTTTGATAAAATGTATTCATTCACCTATTATTCTTGAATATTCTGGAGATACTGACGCCTGTGGCAAAGTTGTCAACATTTTGGTCACAATACTGTAACCTTTCTTGTCCTGAAAAAGTATTAAGAAAACAATGGGATGGAGAGTTTTCTCTTTTAATGATAAAAATAAAAGTGGATTTGCCATCACCATTGGTATTTAAGTGAAATTCAATTTTTAAAGTGGCTACTTTAATGTGTTAGAGGATAAATATAACTGCTTGAAGGCAAGTTTTTCTTGTCAAGTTTTCCAAAAAAACAGCAAAGTTAAGCAATGAACAGATAATATTATTAGAGTTTTATGTAAAAGAAACATTGCCTTCTGCAACATTATACAACAAATTATTGATTTTTAAAATTTTTTAATTAAAAATTTTTGACAATTTTATATATTAAATTCTTTTGTGAATCAAATTGTTTAGATAATGTTACAGGAACTTAAAATTAAATAAAAAAATTGTATCTTGATGAAAATTTATTTCATTTTTATCTGGTGGGAATTTGATTGAACACATAGTTTGTTCTCTTATAATTGGGGGTGGATCTGTACAGATTTTTCTCCTTTTTTATGTTTATTTTTTTTCTTCTTTAATTTGGTTTTGCTCTATTTGTAGACACCAGCTGTTTACACAAATTTGAAAATTGTTTCTTTTGCTGTGTTTGTATGCTTCTGCATCACATTTAAAACAATTTATCAGTTCATTTGTGCTGAACTTTTAAAAATTAATTAAATTTAAAGATAATTCAAAGGTGTGTGTGAAAGCAAATTATAAAGTGTTAATTTGTGTTGATTCTTTACAAATAGATTAGAGATTTAGAGATGATGCTGAAGTATTTCACAGAAGTTAAAAATGAAATTATTTTAAAATCTAAAGTCTTAAATCAATTTTTCTTTTGTTTCTTGCCATTAGATATTTTCACATCTTTGATTCATAATTTCTTTCCTTGTTTTGTAGGTATTGATTCCTTGTCATCAATAGTAGAAAAACTCTACGCAGGTGTGTAGATATTTATTAGATACTGAAGAATTATCAATCGCTATCTCCTTCCATGGTTTTATGGCAATTGTTAACCATTTTTATCATCAATGAAAAATTATATACTGAAATTTTTACTTGATTCCTACTCAGTATCATTTTATTTATATATATATACTAGTCTATTTCTTGAACTTGAAATAGTTCAACACATGGTTTGATGAAGTTTCTTTTTGGAGTTTGCAACTTATTTATCTTTTCCTTATATAAATTAATTGTTTGTACTCATTAAAAAGTATTTTAAGTTAACAAATATTCTTTCTAATAGTATGTTGGTGTTGCTTTCTTAACCAATTGGCAAATACTAATAGAGATCGTGTAAGTCAACATGATTCGTGACCAGAGGGAAAGGATTTGTATTCCTAATAGAATGCTTCACATGTGCAATTGAAATGTTTCTCCACCTCTAAAAGTTCCTGTAAAGTTCCCTTCGCTAAGAGACAATTTTCTTACTCTGAAGAGATTTCTTATCTAGACTTTTCCCAGATATTGTAGAAAATGATAGAATACATGATTCAGATTTGAAAGCTGAAATGAAATGATATGATAAGAACTGTATATCGAAAACAAATTGAAGCAAACCTTCCTTTTTCATTCAAAAGCACAAAATGTTTTTGATTAGCATTTATCATGAGAAGAGGCTGAATTCTTGACCTTGGAAGCTTGCATGGCACTGTTCTGATTCTATGTTGTTACATAGGTAGAAACTTAATAAGCAAATTTAAGAAATTCTTAGAGTCAATTTTGTTTTGTGATAGAATTTTCCAAATCAAATCAACAGAGTATCAGTTTACTATTAAGATCACTAAAATACACCAGCTGAGAGGAAATTAGATTCGAAAGAGATGGTGGATTTAATGAAAAGAAGTTTGTATGTAGTCTTGTATGATGGGAACAGGAACCGTTGTGTTTCATAATTGCTTTTATAATGGGCTTTGCAGCCCTTCTTAATGAACTACCTTCCATGAATAAGAGGAGAAAAAAATTGAAGAAAGGCCTTACTTGAACTTAAGCATTGACATAACTTATTTGGCCCATCATTCTTTTACTACTAGTTCACATAGTCAGAACTGTTCAAATAGTGTTTTAGGGAAGTGATTAAATATAGTGATGGGTTTGAATATTTCAAGGAATACTTTCCTGATGTTTGTGATGTTGAAGTGTGTGTGTTCTCTATTAAGAGTATCAATTGCAGAGTATAGTTTTAAGAACAATTAAGTGGAGTTGAAGTAAGCATGGAGGAGATATGAGACTGAAAATTTTATGAAATGTCATCTAGCACAGTTTTTGAGATTGTGGGCGATATTTAAAATATGTTTGTGAAATTCTCATCAAAACTTTTTTTATTTTTTTATTAGTCATTAGTAGAGCCTGGATTCTCAAATTTTAACCTATTGCTCTCTTATTATTTTAACATACTGTCCATTTCAATTACTCTTGAGCCAAATCTTGCAGAACCTTAAATAAATAAAATGAGTTGATCATAAGAGGCTAAATTATGAATTTAAAGTTAGCTTGAAAAAATTCATTTCTTCATAGAATTTTAGACAGACTTAGCTGCCTTTCTACACTATTGAAATATTAGATGGGTGCATTCTTGCAAATGAAGCGATGAAGATCATTTAAGCTGTTTCATGGAAGGAAATACCAGGAACTGTTGATATGTTCTCTTTAAAGCTCTAAAAAATTCAATGCAATCGTGGTTACTCATAGATGAAAGACATAAATGCAGTTCATGGCCATGAAACATCTGAATAATTACTATGAGAAGTTATTTTCCTAAGGTATTTTGGGATTATACATGATTGTTCATTACAACAATTTATTTTAAAGAAATTGCATGTTGGTGTGTAGGCTAATTTTGAAGAGTAAAGTAAACATTAATGAAGGGTTCGTTTAAGAAATTGCGAAATTTAGTTTTAAATTTTATATGCTTCTTTTAAGAATAATTTATTCAATTTCAGAAGTTAAAAAATTGATTAAAATTTGTTAGTAACTGAAATTTGTTATTGATTGTCAGTATTGTTCGCCTGTTGTTAATAGGAGTAGAAACAAATTATAAAAACCTAAAATGGGCTAAATTGTTATTTTCAAAAATCCTAAAATGTTCATAAATTTCTGAAAATATCTGGTCCCTAGTCATGTGTAATGAACAGGATTTGTTCTGCTGTCCTTTTTGCTGTAGAATAGTACTGAGGACTGCTGAAAGCAGGAATGCTTTCAGGTTCCTATTAAAAATTCGAGACACGAATAAGATGTCAAACAAATGTGGATGTGAAATATATATCTAAATTCTAAGAATATATGCATAAATCAGTTATTTATTAGATTGCTGTGTGAATAATTCTGTTAGAATGAATACTTTTTCTCATGGTCCCAAAAGAAGGCTAATGTAATAGAACAAAAAACTAAACTAACCAATGCACTCAAAAAATGTTCAAGAAATCATGTAATATATCTTCAAACTCTGTTAATATTTTGTTGAAACGGTGGATGGAGAGGGTTTTCTTGTCCCTATGATTTTTGCATAGCTTAGGTTATCTTGGGCATTTTTGGTGGAGATGTGATTGCAATGAATTGAACTTGTGATCTTGGGTACCAGTAATTATAATTATTGTTTTGATATTGATTTTGTCCAGCATTAAATAAGAGGGTACAAAAAAAAATACATGTGAGGAATTAGTGCTCTTGGTTAGTTCAGGGTTTGTGTACTAAGTGCAGTAAGGTGAAATTTAGAAATATTGACCCCTTTTCCTATTTCTAGTTTTTTGTTGATCCCATTTGCATGCTCATTTTAGTTAACCCCAAATTTCACTGCACCAAAACCTACTAGTTACATCATTCTTTCACATGCTAATTTATTTTAGTTCTTATCTTCCATATTTGAATTTGTTTTTAGAATCAAACAGCGACTTGAGGTTGAATGCTATGCCATTTTCAAAATCGAGCAATCAAGAAGGAAAGGGATCTGGTGAGTTAGTTATGATGGTTTACCATGTGCATGATGTGTCCTAGATTGTTTTGTATGATATGTTCCTAGAAAAGTGAACTCCAAGATGCGTAACTAGAGAAGGAAAATTTATTTACTTTTAGAGAGAATTTCAACCCCTCTGTGGCTTGGTAGAAATTTCGGATGTTTAATGCGTTAACGCATAGCCAGACATTAGCCTATTAGCTATCTAGCTCTTTTCTTCTTGGACGGGGAAAAAGTAGCATAGAAGATTTGCCAGGTGAAATTGCAAATTATATCCATTTATACCAGATCTCTCCATTTATCGGTGTATCAATATTGTGAAGAAGTAAGAAAATATTCATAATTGGTAATGCTATTATTCTAGTTGTTTCAGTAACGTGGATGCGGTCTGAAAGTAATCATGGCCTCTATGAAGAAATGTAAATGCGAATTCTAAATAAATGATCAAATTGAACTTCCTGTCCTTTTTAAAGGAAAGATTTGGACTTCGAAATATTGTTCATTGAAATTATGAGTAAAGAACTATGCTTTTTCTGTGTATTATGAGTAAAGAACCATGTTTTTTCTGTGTTTATGAGTAAAGAACTATGCTTTTTCTGTGTATTATGAGTAAAGAACTATGCTTTTTCTGTGTATTATGAGAAAAGAACTATGATTTTTCTTACTGTTCAGGCTTTCAAATGTTTCATTGCTTTCTACAATTAATTTCTGTTTCCACTTCAGAATATTCTTTTATAGTAATTCATAATCTTACTTTTGTAATACTTCATTCTCATTCACTTTCATTCTATACTATGCTATATATTGTTACATGACACAAGTATTTGTTTTGTAACAATACAAAGAATAAACAATTTTTTGTGTATACAATCACAGCATCTGCATGGTGCAATGTAAGGGCTGACCAATAATTATATTAAAGTGCCTTTGTTTAGTTAAGAAAATATTAGTTTTTTCTTCTTTTGGATCTCCGAAACTAATGTTTTTAAAATTTTACTTTTAAAAGTTGAAGTTAATGTTTAAATTATTTTCTGTTTTCCAAGCCTACTAACTCACAATTTTTGTCAATGTTGAAAGGACCTGAAAAATGAAACAATGAAATTTACTTTAATAACATTTCACCTTTGTTCAGAGTCTCCTCAGCAGCGAATGGATCATATGCAAGATGAATTGATGCAAGTTCAATTAAAATACCAAAGAGAACTAGAGAGGTTAGAGAAAGAAAATAAAGAACTGCGCAAGCAGTTACTATTGCGGGGAAACAAGGCTCCTGCAAAGAAAGTGAAGGCGAGTTCAACTTTGTTTTCATTGAGAATGATGTGCTTTTATTAATGTAGGCTAAATATTGCTGATTTGTATCCTGAAATGCTTTATTGGTATGTGTAAGCAGCTGTGAAACTACAGTAAAACTTGCTCAATGCAGAATTTGTGTAGAGTGGAAATCTGTCTAAGGTGGACATAAATCGCGGCCCAGCTAAACATTAGGCATTACATTGCATTGCATAATGTGGAAGTTTGTCGGAAAAAAAATTCTGGTATCTTCAGATTCTGCATTGAGCTAGTTTTACTGTATATGATTAAACACGATCTTCATTTCATGCCAAAGTTATAATAATTTTGTCTTAATGAATATGATTATAATGAACTCCAGAATTATTCTACATGTAATTATAATGAATGATTATTACCCTTGTGTTACAGAAGTCATTGATTGATATGTATTCAGATGTGTTGGATGAATTATGTGAATATGACTCGAGTTATAGCACACAGGACCATCTCCCTAGAGTTGTTGTAGTTGGTGATCAAAGTTCCGGGAAGACATCTGTGTTAGAAATGATTGCACAAGCACGGATTTTCCCTAGGTAAGAATGTATGTTTGTGTGAGGTTATCTTTCATATTATGTAAAATGTTTTCAATGATGAAAACAAAATGCCAAGAGATATCTTTCATTCAATGAAGAGTATATAAGTCATCACTGTTTTGAATTAGTAACTGCATTTATTTTATTACCTGATTACATCTGGAGGGTAATGTGACTTGTTTCTCAGTGCATGAATTTTCTAGATCTAAATTTTATCCATTTTTTTTACTTTCTAGCCCTTTGTAAAAAGAAAAAGTATTGTAATTGTGAACTGCAAAAACATGAATTTTCGACAGAAAAACTCTTATTGCTAGGTTCTGGTGACAAAAAGGGAATAAATCTTATTCCTCTGTATACTTCCCTTAACACATGTAGTCAGAATCCATGTTTTGTGAGTACTATGGTTGCGACATGGGTGTTGATGTTTTAAAATTCGATGTATTGAAACCGATGTTTTTAACAATGTTTTGGGTTCAATGTTTTGTTTGTGAATGAAAGATGCCCAAAATCACAATTTTGTAAAAGTTAAAATAATTATCAATAACTGATGGTACCAATGTGTTTGTATTTGATTCAAACAAGCGTGGTTTATTCTATCTTTATTGAGCAGACTACCATCCCTTCCTGCTGATGGCCTGGTATTTCATTCGTTCCTGTACCTCACACACATGGAGAGATGTTGTATAACTTTGTTTTCAGTTAAATTTTAATATAAATTAATAAGCACAGCCATTGTCAAATTGAAATTTTTTGCGCACGAATGTAATGTTATTTTACTAAACCAATTTTAAAACATTGATGTTTTTTAATCAATGTATTTTTAACATTGATTTTTTGATTTTGAACATTGATGTTTGGCTATATCAATGTATTGTTGTTGATGTTCCATCACTAGTGGGTACTTGATACTGGAAAATCATGTGACATCAGAACTTCTGTCCGCTTATCCATTTATCTATATATCTATCTGTCTATGCTCGAAGCTAGCACCAAAGCCATTAAGCTGATTTTCTCCAAAATTGATATTCCTTGATCAATTTAAAGGAACTCAAGGCCCTCTGTTTTGGAAATCGATATTTTGATTTTTCGGAGTACTTTACATGAAACCTCAACATTTTCAAAATTTTCTCATAAATGGCTCCAATTTTTTTTGATTAAACTTTGTCCTCAAATAGCGTAAAGCACACTTACGAGATTGGTGCAAGTTTCATATCCATTAAAAATCTTTGATTTTGCAAATCTTGCAAAAATTCAAATTTTTTGACGTTTTCCTTCAATGTCAATGTTGAAGATAGTTTTTTTTCTTGAATGAAAACTGTTCTTTAAAGACAGACCTCGAAATAGTCATGTCGAATTTTTAGAAAATATGAGTAGATTTGTCATGATTTTGTGTGAAATGAGGGAATTTATATTTCTTTTAAATCATTATTTCTCAAAAACAGCTCTAATTTGTTTCTTTAAATTTTGTCTTCATATCTATGAAAGAGCAGTTAACAAATTTGTGCTAGTTTAATTTTTGGAGTAAAAATTACTCGTGTACAATTTTTTGAAAAGTTAGTTGTTTTCGTGTAATTTGTGTTTGAAATTAATGCAATTTACAAACAACTCATTTTCTGAGAATGCACTTCCAAACTTTTTACATGGATAAAACAAGTTTTCCAGGCATAAAAGAATGGTGTTGGTCTCATTTTCATTGAACTCTGAATTTTTGAAACAAATTTAGAAATAATGTAATGATGTATGTGGTGCTGTAGTTTTTTATCCTAAAAGCGCTATTAATCTATGCATTTTTGAGGGTGTTAGAGGGCTTCTTTTAATAGCTTGTTTTTTTAAAGTTCGAGAAATATCAGAATATGGGTAGTAATAGAGTTAATTGCTAAAGTGAGAGTTGTCAATGTTTATTATAATAAAAATTATTTCAGCTCATCAGACATGATTCATTCTATATGTTGATAAAAATCCATTTAAGAATAATGAACCCACAGATACACCTTAGATTGTCACACAATATAATAATCATAAGGGGCCATTCAGAAGATGACGGCAAAATTTTTCTCTACCTAGTCTTCCTCACCCTCTTTTCTCCAACTCTTCTGATTGTTTCTTATTCTTGTAGTGAGCAACTTGTAACTTCCACCCTCACCCTCCAAGTGATAAATCCTCTCAAGATTTGATTCTATCGTTCCCCTTCTTACCCTCTACCAGTTTAATGATCGCAACTTAATTAAATGTGGTGAAATTGCTTGTGTATTTTAATATGAGTTTAAAAAAAAAAAATTAAAAAAAATTAATTTGAACAGTTGTTTCTTGTTTTATATCTATACTCTATACTAATACTTATAACAAAGATCTCAAATTTGGCTGTTTGTCTGGAGTCCCCATTTCATTTCTCTTCAACCCCCTTCACCTTCATTCATTTTCGTTACAGTTGCAGGAACCCCTTCCTCCTAAATACAGGTGTATTTTTTGAATGGTCCCTAAGAGGTTTGGAAGGATAATGTTGATTCCTTACTTTTGGCCTCAGGGGAGCCGGGGAAATGATGACTCGAGCACCGGTGAAGGTAACATTGAGTGAAGGACCCTACCACATTGCTCAGTTCCGGGACAGTGCCAGGGAGTTTGACCTCACCAAGGAGTCAGACCTAGCGGAACTACGGAGGGAGGTGAAGTCATTAGGTTCACATTGTTTTGTTTATTTTTCTTTTCTCTTTGGGTAGTATTCATTCTTCCTCAACTTCACAAAACAGGAATACTGGAATGATTTGATAATAAAAGTTCTTTATTTAATATTTTATGAATAAGCTTTTGCAGTTACACATTTTAATAATAAGTTTTATTTAATATTTATTAATGTTTGTGGAAATGGTGATAATATTCCCACATTTTATTTAGAGTTACAACAGTGAAATATTTATTATATTTGTTTAGATATAAAGTTTAGGATGAATTAATTTTCCTGAAAATTTGAGAGAGAAAATCTTTGATGTTTAATGAAAACTTTATGTATTTTGTATAGGTTGAAATACGGATGAAGAACAGTGTTCGCGATGGAAAAACTGTAAGCAATGATGTCATTTCAATGTCTGTAAAAGGACCTGGTCTTCAACGAATGGTGTTGGTTGATTTACCTGGTATTATCAGTGTAAGATCTTTTAATATATTTTTTTACTTATTGAGTAATATGTAAATAAAAAGGTCACAAGGAAAACAATATACAAAAGATGAGAATAGGAGATCTAATTTTAAAACCAAGTGGTTAAGGAACATATATTAAAAGTTGTGGGGGAGTTTTTGAGAGTTTTGTGAAGTGAATGATAAGAAGTCATAAATAACAAACTATATGCTTTCTCAAAAGCCATTGAAGTTTTGTTCCAATGTGTAATTTAATATTGAAATTATCTATGCCTAAAATGTGGATGTTCTTTCAGACTGTGACAATAGACATGGCTGAAGATACGCGAGATTCTATCAAAAATATGTCTCAAATGTACATGTCTAACCCCAATGCAATTATACTGTGCATTCAAGATGGTTCTGTGGATGCAGAACGTAGCAATGTCACAGATCTAGTGTCTCAGATGGATCCTCAAGGGAAGAGAACCATTTTTGTTTTGACAAAAGTGGATTTAGCAGAAGAAAATTTGGCTAATCCAGACAGGGTACTATTATTTTGAGCTACTTAGTTCCTTGGATGGGAGAAATATCTTCATTGTGTGTACTGAACCAAATAATCTAATATATTTTGATACAATTTTAGATCAAGAAAATTCTGTCAGGGAAACTCTTCCCAATGAAAGCTTTGGGGTACTTTGCAGTTGTGACTGGTAGAGGCAGGAAAGATGATTCTATTCAGACCATCAAAAACTATGAAGAGCAGTTTTTCAGAAGTTCTAAACTTTTCAGGTGATACATTTGTGTAGTTTTTGTAACTTTAATGTATAGAAGCAATAGATGTTGTGATGTATTCTAATATTGTGATGTAATGGAAGTTTTTTTTTGAAGATCCTCAGTTCATTTTTCTTGCCACAGGGATGGTATGATTCACTCGGGTCAAGTAACAACCCGCAACCTGAGCATGGCTGTTTCAGAATGTTTCTGGAAAATGGTTCGGGAGACTGTTGAACAACAGGCTGATGCTTTCAAAGCAACACGTTTCAATCTTGAGACGGAGTGGAAGAACAATTTTCCAAGGTAGAAAGAAGTTGAACCTTTTACATTATTTTGAAGCAATAGTAAACGAAAGGTTAATAAGTACTAATAAATTTTATTATAATTATCACAAAATCTAAAATCACAAATTCAATTTTTTATGAAGCATATTTGAGAACAAAATTCCTCATTTGACGTAATGTCTTGTGAATATTTACTAGGAGGGTATAGAATGTGTTGGAAAAATTAATTTTAATTTTTTTGTTTTTCATAATTCTTTGGTGAAATGAATAATTTTGTATCCTATTTGGTTCTGTTCATTAATGATTCAATGAATTTTGTTCCTTGTCCCAAATAGGTTACGTGAACTGGATCGTGACGAGTTGTTTGAGCGAGCTCGTGGTGAAATCCTCGACGAGATTATAAATTTGAGTCAGGTGTCACCCAAGCAATGGGAAGAACTTTTAATGAAGAAGTTGTGGGATAAAGTTTCAATGCATGTATTTGAAAACATTTACTTGCCAGCTGCACAAACAGGAAGTACAGGTGAGACAGCTTTCAATTGTTAATTTTTTCTGCCATGTTGTCCCTCGATGTAATAATCATTATGAAAAATTGATTAGTGCTTGTAAGCATGTCTGGGCTGTTTAGGCCTACCTTTTCAACAACTTTGATCTTCTTTGTTACGGACAATGATAGACTTCATTGCTTAATGGTTATGACCGAAATGCATCCTTTTAAAAATGTTGTTTCGTTTTCTGCTATTTTTGGTTAAATCTGTTTTCTCATTCAGTATCTTTTAAATATTCTGGTCGTAATTCTGACTCCAAATGCAACCAGAGCACAAGCCCTTTTCATTATTTTTCTTGACATCTATAACATACTTTGCTATAGAGAAACAGTTTGCTATTGCCTTGAGACAAAAAAATAAACTTAATTTTTGAGATGTTGGGCAAGATCTTTTATTTTAATTGCTTTAAATTTACAAAATAATATTTTTTTCTTGCTAGTTGTTTGAAAATATTCTCTTGACATATTCTTTGTCAGTTCATGAATGATTGAACACACTCAAATGTATTTGTTTGTCTAATGTATTTTTCATATGCAGGCACTTTCAATACAACTGTTGACATCAAATTGAAGCAGTGGGCTGAACAACAACTGCCTCAGAAGTCAGTTGAAACTGGATGGGAAAGTCTACAAGAAGAATTTCGGAAATTTATGGAGCGTGCCCGTAAATCAAAAGATCATGATGATCTTTTTGATAATTTGAAAGCTGCAGTAGTTGATGATGCTATGAATAGGCATTCATGGGAAGACAAGGTATATTCTTGGAAGATTTGCAAGTGTCTTAAAAAGTTATAATCTTTCATTTGAGAAAAAGTCTAATTTTCAAACAAGAAGCTGCAACATCACATACTTTCTCAGAATATTGGAATCTGTTAGTAATATTATATTGAAATATTGCAATTTGTGCCTTAACTTTTAAAACTCCTAACCAATTCACACAAAGCACCTTCAGAGGATATCTGTGATTATTTCACTAGTGATGAACAGTAGTTCTTTCTTATTGTTACCAAAGAAACCAACATAAATAAATCTCAACTGTTACAATATTTGCAGCACATTTCATAAATATCCATTGCAGCATATAGCATAGGATAATTTCACATATAAATTAAACATCTAGAACTGGAGGACATCCAATATATCGCCTTATGAATGCATATGTAGTACGAAAATATGGTGTTGTTACAAAGTGTGCAACTTAACGCAGAAAGTATATTTTGTGCTTCTTGTAATGTATTCTTCTCAACTTGTATATAGTTGAATGTACCATTTTATTGAATGTAATGACATTGTAATATTACTGTTTAGAAAGGAAAGCCTCCTTACCCTATTGCTTTCCTATATATGTCGCTGCCCAACCATGAAATTCTCAGAATAACTACTCCAACTGCTATGTTGCAACTTGTATGGCATTGCAGCATGAATGATTACCTTTAAATACTGGTGCTAAATAACTAACTCTTAATATTAATAAACTAATTAAATTACTAATGTTCTACAATTTGTAATGTTTAGTTAAACATGAAAAGGGATTATCAAAATATCCAACTGCCTCCAAGCATCTCTCAGATTACTTTTACAGACTTTCACCACCTAAAAGCACAGGATATTTGAATTTACAATTTTCAATATTTTCCAATTTTTGAAAATGCAGTGTGTGCTGGTAATGGGACCAGCTCCACATTCTTTAGTGTTCTTTGCTACGTATGAAAAAACGTAAGGAAAAAAATTGAAGCAGTTTTTTGAGAAAATAATTGTTTAAAATTTAAAAATTGGCTATGCTTGATGCAAAATTATGCAAAAACTACACGACATTATTTGAACATGACTGTAATTGAAGATCTGTTTTTGATAAATACATTTCATTAAGAAAAAAAACGTATCTTCCCAATTGTTGTTGAGTAATTCTCCCATTCTCTTTAAGTGTCCATTATGTTATCCGAAGACAAACTTTGATCTCAAAAGTTTGTGTTGTATTTTGAGAAAAAAATTGTATAAAAAATTGCCTATATTTCATACAAAATTACGCAAAAGTACTCAAATTTAAAAAAAATTGTGCATAACCTTATTTTAAAATTTTTCTTTAAAGAGCAGATTTTAATGAGGAAAATTCTACCTTCAATATTTTAGTTGTAGGAAATTCCCAAACAAAAATTAAACTTCTGCAATTTTTGAAACATCAGGGATTTTACTTACATTGAGACCTGCACCATTTTCTTAAAGGGCCTTCATGCTATCCCACAACAAAATTTTAATAAAAAAAAAATGATTAACGTCCCAGGGGCTTCATATAAAGTAATTAAAATAACCCCCAAAATTAAAATATCAGTTAAATTGAAGGAGCCATGATATCAGCCAGATCGATTGGGGAATACTAGTTTTGGCGAAAATTGTGCTTACGTTGTAGCCACTAGCATTGATCTCGGACAGATGGACAGATGTTTTGCCAACAATCTATTTTTTGGTATCAAGGTTCCACTGATCACGGATTCTGACTACATAACATGTTATGAGGAAGTAATTTACTGTATATTGGGTTAAGATTTCCACCACTTCCAAGATATCCACTTTTTGCTACCAGGACCCGGCAGTAAAGAGTTGTTTGGTTGAAAATTAGCCATTATTTTCTCACTGCATTACAATACTATCTCTACTCTGTGTAGCGAGAAAGTAAAAAGTAAACTTAAAGAAAACTTGAAAGAAAAAATTGCTGGGATAAAAAGTATTCAGTCAGTTCCACAAAGAAAAAATGTAAAATGTCAATGGACATGATGAGATGATAAATGGGCCTAGGGTGTTTCTCAAATGGCTGATGACTTATTATGTTACCTAAAAAATGTTGTGTATGTTATGTGAATAAAAGTAATGTTTTGTGCAATTTTTTGATGCTTCATAGTGAAAAATGTTTTTATTTAGGCAAGTGAAATGCTTAGAGTTATCCAGTTGAATACCTTGGAAGATAGGTCTGTATATGATAAGCAACAGTGGGATCAAGCAGTGAAATTCTTGGAAACTAGTGTAAAGGAAAAATTGCAGGTAAGCAGGGCCATTTGTTCAAAATGGTTCATATTATAATGTTCATGTTATTCAGTATCAAGTTAAGCTTGGAGAGACTGTTAATACTCTTATTTTGACTTGTATTGTTTTGTTAATTTATTTTAGGCAACAGAAGACATGTTAAGAGCAATGTTTGGGCCTTCTACAAAGGAGAGGTGGGTGTATTGGCAATATCTGACTCCAGATCAAAGCAAGCGATGTGCTGTGAAAAGTGAATTGGAGAAAATTCTTTATTCAGATTACGTATGTATAATTTGAATTATATATTGTATATTAAGAATCAGCAGATGAACGTATCTTCCCTATAATATTATCATTTATATTACGTGGTTAATTGTTTATTTTGTATTATATTACAGTATAATACTTTGTTCATCGAAGAATATGTGTTCACATTTTTTATCAGATGTTGTGAAAATTTGTCAACAGAAACATTCTCCATCTCTTTCATACGATGAGATAACTACTGTGCGCAAGAACCTACAGCGCAGTGGTGTTGAGATAGACAATGAGTTCATAAGAGAAACGTGGCATCCAGTGTATCGACGTCATTTTTTGAAGCAAAGTTTAGCTCGGTGCTATGATTGTCGAAAAGCATTCTATCTATATCATCAAGGACATGAATCAGAAGTAAGAACTCTGAAATAATGCATTTAATACTAAGAAATGGAGTCCCCAAACTTCAAAAATTGGAATGTTCAATTTTTCCCCCATAGTGGATGTGTTACACATTTCACACAGTTAAATGTTACATATTTTTTATTACATTTAACCAGTTATTAATTACATATAATTAAACATGTCAAATGTGCTTATCAGCTGTTGGGTTTATCATGTATTTTAAACTATTTCTGTGGAATCCACTTATTTTTTTCTGGGATAGTTGTTCAATGTTTGTGAGAGCTCTTGTGTCTGTGTAGGTGGACTGTGCTGACGTGGTGCTTTTCTGGAGGTTACAACAGGTACTCAGAGTGACATCAAATGCTTTGAGGCAGCAAGTGATGAATAGGGAAGGTTAGTTGATATTTTTAATATTTGCTGATTTGTCTGTGTTACTTTTCCCTCAGTCATCAAAGTATGATAGCAACTACCTGAGATGAATAATGTAAGAGTTAATTGATTTATAGTGAAAATCTTTCTATTTCTCTCTCACTCCTCTAGTGGGTTGACTCATCTAGAAGTTATAGAAAACTAAATGGTCTTTTATTTCAAGGTGCAAAATACTTTCTCTTTACCTTTTTCCTCTCTCTAACTGATGTATTTTTTGTTACATTGATGTCTCAGTATTATAAAATTTATTGTGATTTCTTGCAAAGGTATTTGCAAAAGCTTAGTACAGTAAAACCCGGTTTTTACATTCCTGTATTTTACGTGTTCCAGCCTTTTACGTAATTTTTCGTTGGTCTCGTTGAAAAGCCTACATTTACAATGCATTCTCTTCCCGCTATTTACAACTTGATATGAAGACTGCTTCCTGTCTTTTACATATTTTTTTAAAATTTATGTTTTACTTTTTTACTTTCTCATATACGTACGTTTTATACCTAGTGCCGAGAAAGTTATATATTGCTGCGGCAAAAAACGGCGCTTTTTCTACACTAAAACTCGTACTGATACAGAAAAAGTGGATAAATCCTGTTCCAATATGTAGTAAATTACTACATATGTATGTAATGAACTCTCAAAAGCCTCAAGTTCATTCAGATCAATTGACGAATATCAATTTTGGAGAAAATTAGCAGGCGGTTTAGGCGCTCGCGTTGACCACAAACAGACATTGTGCCGTCAATCATTTTTGCTGTTTCAAGAATCCATAAAACAGGGATTCAAGCTACACCACGTGTTAGAGGAAGTAATTTAATATATATAGGAACATGATTTATCCACTTTATCATTACCAGGATACGTCAATAGATTTTCTGATAAAAATTGCCGATTCCGGCACATGCTTTTATTTTTTCTTCCTTCGAAGTGTAAGTGAAACCAGAGTAACCATTGCAGTAAATAACGAAAGTACTCACCTAGCCTATTGTTTTTCAACTTTCCTGTATTTTACACTTTCCTGCATTTTACACTTTTTTTCATCAGTTCCCTGAAAAGTGTAAAAGAGGGATTTTTCTTTATTTTATTGACCCTATGTTTCTTAGATTGGATATAATTTGTGTTTGTGTGTGTGTGTGTGTGTGTTGTATTTTTGTTTAATGCTGAACATAATTTATAGAATAAATATTAAAGAAAATTAATGAAATGAATTTTAAATTAATTTAAAATAAAATAATTCCTGTCAAAACTAGAACTTAGGTACTTGAAACAATTGAAAAATGCTTTTGTGATAACACGACAAAAAACACTTCTTCTAACAAAAAAGCAAGTTTAATCATTCTTCTAAACCTTGATATCCTCTGCAAATATGTTATATAATCCTTATTGTGATTCAGCTCGCCGTCTAGACAAAGAAATAAAAGAAGTTCTAGAGGATTATAGTCAAGATAATGAAAAGAAAGTTCGACTGCTGACAGGCCGAAGAGTAATACTTGCCGAGGAATTAAGTATGTTTCCTAGAACTCATTAGTGCAATGATACGTTGTGTTGTTACTTATCAGATGTTAATCCTTTTTTTCTTCTTCCCAGAACGAGTGAGACAAATTCAAGAAAAATTAGAAGAATTTATTCAAGCGCTAAATCACGAAAAGTAATTTTGCCCAATGTTCTTTCCTCTTGCAGTCAGTCATTTTTTTCTATTGTGTGATATTTCATTCCTTGTAAAGTATGCAATAATGAATCACAAGCCTGATAGTCAAATGTGTTTGTGTAGGTGATCATAAATAAATTAATAATGAATATACTTTTTTTGATATTGTTTCAGATATTCCTCAGGCATTCATGAACTTGAATCCCAAGATCCTTTTCCTTCCCTCTGTGTGCAATAGCTACGTATCTTTTTTGCTACTATATGTTACATATTTTTTTTTATGCAATTTTTGTAAATAGTGATATTAGCAGTCACCCCATTTATTTATTAAATAGTAAATATATTTTGGGTTGTTAAATTTTCATTGTTTATTGAGATGAGCAATTATAATGTTCTCTATCTTTTCATTGAATTTTATATGAATTATTAAATTGAGGTGGAAGTGTATTTTCATTAAAAAACGGTTTTAGAAACCAGTTTGTTAATGTTACTATGATGTAAGAGGGGTTGAAAAATTTGAATTCATGTACCATTATTGATAAGTTTGTTTCTTAATTATATAATTGAGAGTTTTTTTGTTTCACTTTATAAAACTCACAGTAAAAGCAATTAAATTAATTGTTTATTGTGCCCACTTGTTTACTGAAGAAAGGAAGAAAAACTGCCAGGTTTCTGCATGTGCGCATGTCTTTCAGTACATATAAATGGTTTGAATCAACGATAATATTCTTTACAATAATTATTTAATTTTCGCCTCTCCACAATGATTTGTAACACTTTTTCCAAAGATACAAGTCTGTCAAAGAACCCTGTCTCAATTCTAATTTATTATTAAGATCCTGGGATTTTCCCTCCACTTGTGGAATTATCGTGCCTTTCATTTGAAGAGTCCACTGCAAGATTGATGGATGTTACAAAGATACACTTGTGTATTAAAGAATTTTTAAAAGCAAGCTCATTACATGTACAATAAGCGCTTTAATGTTTAAACTATATGCTGACTTCTTTGATCACATTTTTACTGAGTACTCAGACAACAGGGCAATACCAACTACAGTAAAGTGATTTTAGTATAAGTTTGTAAAAAATCTCAAATGTTCAAGTTTTGAATGGCGTACTTCATTTCTAAAAATAATGGCTTTACCTGTTCAGATTCATATATAAATCCAACCTTGAAGTTAATATTATTTTGAGTTTATTAGAACTATGTGATAGCATTCCACATAAAAACATCTTCGTAGTGGAAGTGTGATTTTAATATTTTCAATTCGAATAGTAGTTGTTACCGTATACCAGTGTAGTCATTTATATGATGGCTTCCATAGTACAGATCATTAGTTGAATTGTTTGGAAAATGCAATTATTTTTTAATATCCATTGTTACTGATTTCTAATCCTCCTCTGCATAGTTTTTTCTCACTTTTTTTCGCTCATAGAATGTTTCTACTCTTAGTTTGTGGATTTAATTCTGAATTTTAATCTGTCATATTTGTAATGGTACAATGTTTGCTCTTTCATCAGCTATCAAAGGGCTCTCAAACAACCTTTCTTCTTCACCTTTTTTTCAGCCACATATTTATCATAACTGCTACATGTATCAGTTCTAGGATTTTAAAATGGGATCTTGAATTTTGAGTGAAATATATTCCTATAAAATTATAGAAAATAAAATAAAAAATAACGTATGTGAGGTAATATCTCTTCCTTGAACATTAAATACATTCTGTATGTATTCAGTTCCTCAGGAAGATACTGTTTGTCAGCTTTTTCCTTGCCAGAGTAAAACACACAAATAGTTGCAAAATGGACAAGAAGATAATAATATAAACAAACTGAATGCAAGTTGTGAACTACTGATGATATAAGCTTCCATTTTGGGAAACTCCATCATTCTTGCAGAAGGCTCTTCATTTGAAGAGATAAATTATGTGTAATGGTTGTTTTGAATCTTTTAAAGCTTTTTAAAGTCTCATCAAGACATTTTGCCCAAAAGCTTTCATTTGCCTTTTCACCAAAAACGAACAGCAAAATATCTCTTCTGAGTTTGATGAATGCGATTAATTCATGGTAGGTCGAGCCTACTCATGTTATATTGTAGGTTGAAGGTGAGTGTAGAGCTGATTTGAAAATTAAACTACAGAAATGCATGTTCAAAAAGGAAATAACCAGATATTGTCCATAATTTCTTGACGTAATTTGCTTGTCACAGGAATGTTGTCAATATTATTAATTATATTATGATAAATATGTTAATTATTATATTAATATATTTTAATACATCCTCAACTGCCCAAAAATTAGGCTTTACAGCCTGTTTCTATTGGTTTATTACGGTATTCTTGGTAGATTATTAGACTTCCAAGTGTTCCTGCTGTATCCACTGTACTGGTCTACTTCTATCTCTGATTTGTATTGGTTTGAACTTCCAGATTAATTTTGGAAATCTTTCATTGTTCATTCTCTGCAAATGGTCTTTCTATCTTCTTTGAGACTGTTCTATATTTTCTACTAAACATTTGGTTTTCAATTTCTTTCTGATGTCTTTATTTCTCAGTCTGTTTCTTCTTGTGTTGCCCATGAAGTGTCTTAGAAATCTCATATGTGCTTCCTGTAGTTTTTGTTTGACTCTCTCTTTCATTACCCAAGTTTCAGAGCGATACACGATTCTAGGTTTAGCTACTACAGTATAACTTCAAGTACAAGTTTTTGTGGTTACTGAATGGAGAGAAAATATATAAATAATAATATGTGTAATAAATAATATATTAAAAATAAGTGAAAAAACACATAACTGAAATTAATTATTATGAGCAAAATTAAAACTCAATATTATTACACCATCATTTTTCCAAGTGTCCCCTGTTCTATATCAATATTTACTTTTTTATTATATTTTATTATACTTATCTGATATTGAAAGGGTTTATGTTTTCCTACCACTCTTTTTCATTTAATATTGTGGACGCGAAAGCAGATAGGAGAACTGTACTCTAATTTAAACAGTCTCAGAGGAATACCTTCTTGCCAGGAAAATTTAAAAGAAAAACTTGTGGGTCGAAAAAAAAAATATAAACTACATTTCAGAAAAATTTCATATTAACTTGTAGTACTATAAAACCCACACTAGTTGATGGTAATCCTGTCTGGAATTTATCCAGTACTTTCCTATCATTTGTTCTAATAATAGTTAAGTTATATTAGATATATAGAATTAAATAACAATTGATGCTTGCACCATATGTTGAGAGAATGTGCGTCATGTAGTGATATATGTAGCAGTGCCTTCACTTCTCCCGCAGTGAGTGTTTGCATCAGTCATAATCGAGTTCTTTTCAATGTCAATTTTTCAAATAACAGCTAACGGTTAAGACCATGAAAATATTTGAACACTAATGGCTTGCAAAATTTGGAAGACAGTAACACACTTTTCCTCTCAATCTATATACGAGTCTGATGTAGTAAGTAATATGTAAGATAAGAAAGACGTCGTCTGATAAAGCATTTTTGTTTTGTATTGATAGGGTGTTTGGCTTATTTACAAACATATTTCTGTGTTGTGTTATGTAAACCTTTTCCGGATGAACTCCATTTGCAACAAATTATGAGTAATTTGAGTGCCGGATGTCTGCACGTGTAGTTTACGTTTTTGTGTTTAGTATATAAACATTTTTTTTTTATTCTAACCTTTTATTGAAATGTCGACATCACGCACATCCTGGCGGAAAGGCGGGTAGTATTGCGGCAGCAAGCCGAGGACGATGGCAAGGAGAAGGGGCGGTTTGACCAGAGCAGGTCACGCCAGGCCAGACTAGGGAGAGGATACACTAAAAATAGAATGCATTCCTTTATCCTGTCTGAATGGATGAAAAAGTTAATAAATGTCCAGAGAAGTATAAGGATTCGGCTATACCCCGTATCCCGTGCGATTTAATGGCACGGGTTTCCGCCGGTTTGTAGTTATAGATAATGTGAATAAAGGATTGAATTTTTCTTCTACCTCAAATTTTACTTTCCCGTACACATACGAATATACGTAGTATAGGGAAAGTTATGTAATGCTGCAGAAAATCGATTTCGAGATTTCAAGTGAAATACACGTTTTGGGGTTCCCTAATACCGATTTTTTTTCTTTCTTTTTTTTTCTTTTCCTTTTCAAAACGTCCGTCCGTTTGTGAATACCGATACCGCCCAAACCGCACGTAGGTGTTTGAAACCTCTGTCGATCTGGTTCGAGTCGAAGCTTTGAGATTTTGAAGGGGAAAAAAAAAAAGCTTTAAAATTTGGGTGTTTTTGACATCAAGCCCCTGGTACATTTTCAAAATTTTCTCAAAAACAGCTGCAATTTGTTTCTTTAAATTTCTTGAAAGAATAGAGTAAAATACATGTATAAAGGTGGCATAGATCAGATTTCCGGGGTTAATTCTGAATTTTCGAAAAATTCAAAAGTTTTAATTATTTCCAGCGTATTTCTGCAACTACATAATTAAAAAAGATTTTTACTTCACTTGAAATTTGTTGTTCATAATCAGTTCTTTCATTACGGTTCTGTACATTTTTTTGAAAATTTTAATATTTTCGAGCAATAATGCGTGCAATGGTTGCAGTTAAAAAACAAACAAACAAGGTTTTCTCAAAAATTGCTCCAAAAATCAAGTTTCTTCAATACTTTTCATGTCTCAATAAACACCCGACAGTCCGATTATTTTCCTGTCATGAAAGTGAGATATTAGAACTTGCATTTCATAAAAACTATACCCTTTCAGATTTCAGTGAAGTTTTGTTTCTATAAGAAACTAAAGCAGCTTTCAGATGACAAAATTTAAATTGTAGCAGTAAACGCATATTTTATAATTTGGTTTTAATATTTAAAACATAATAAGATAAATATTGACGAGTATTTTTGGCTTGACATTGGGATAAAAGAAACTGTTAAAAAGTCCCAAATGTTTATCGTAACCTTTTCCTCTCGGATAGAGCAAAGAACTCTTAAAAAGTGTTGTAGATCCCATTTCGCTGTCAAAAAATTGCGAGCAAAAAATAATGTAAAAATTCAACATTGGTGATCGAGATTTTTTGCCATAAAGAAATATGATCTTTAAAACTAAATCTTGAAATAATGTAATTGGAGTTTCTGAATTTTGAAAATTGCAATGCAAATGTTCAGCTTCTTTAAAATGTCGGGAAGGTCGATATTAGCTTTTATACTGGTGGATAGGGGGTATCGTGAATGGCATACTATCTCCAAGAACCTTAGTTTCAATCCCAGCGCAGAGAAAACAAATTGCTGGTTGGAAAGAATTTTGCAGGTTCATAGTATTATAATATTGCATAGCCGTTGCAAATTATGCGAGAAAGCATGTGCTATTAAAGCTCCGCTAGTTTATAACACGTTAACACTGAGTGTTG